GACGTCTAAGTGTATCCACTGCTCACTATGGGGATAATACATGGTGACGTTTAAGTGTATCCACTGCTCACTATGGGGATAATACATGGTGACGTTTAAGTGTATCTACTGCTCACTAATGGGATGGATATTACTTGGTGACGTCCCAGTTTATCCACTGCTCACTATGGGGATGGATATTACTTGGAGACGTTTAAGTGTATCCACTGCTAACTATGGGGATAGATATTACAGGGTGACGTCCCAGTGTATCCACTGCTATCTATGGGGATAGATATTACAGGGTGACGTCCCAGTGTATCCACTGCTAACTATGGGGATAGATATTACAGGGTGACGTCCCAGTGTATCCACTGCTAACTATGGGGATAGATATTACAGGGTGACGTCCCAGTGTATCCACTGCTAACTATGGGGATGGATATTACTTGGTGACGTCTAAGTGTATCCACTGCTAACTATGGGTATGGATATTACAGGGTGACGTCCCAGTTTATCCACTGTTAACTATTGGGATATTACAGGGTGACGTCCCAGTTTATCCACTGCTAACTATTGGGATATTACATGGTGACGTCCAAGTTTATCCACTGCCAACTATGGGGATGGATATTACAGGGTGACGTCCCAGTTTATCCACTGCTAACTATGGGGATGGATATTATAGGGTGACGTCCAGGTTTATCCACTGCTAACTATGGGGATGGATATTGCAGGGTGACGTCCCAATGTATCCACTGCTAACTATGGAAATATCACAGGGTGACGTCCTAATCTATTTCACGGTGTAACTCTCGTACCATTGTCTGAAAGCCGCGAGAACGATTGTTTTGTTTTCGAAACTGCTTATCGCTTTAATTGAACTCTGAGAAACCTCGAGAATACGGACGTGTGGGTCTTTCAAGAGTGTAAGTATCATGGAAAGATATCAGACTGAAAGAAAAGTATATCAGCGAGATTCATAATATTACAAATACAAACAAAACGTTAACATGCGGCTATAGAGCCATCATCAGCACATATATAAAGCAAACAAAGCCACACGTATACATAAAATCACTTAACTTAGTGTGGAGAAGCAGCCATGTTGATGTCTTGCCGGCGCAATGAGGAGAAGCGTTAGACCCGAGAATAAAGAGCTGGGGAATGCCAATGGGCCATAACTCGAGACTTATATGAAACGGTGTTTACAGTTTAGTCCCCTGGTCGTACGCATGCCAAAATTGAAAATAAAGGTATTATCAAGAGTCTTGCAGACTCTTTCTCTGGAGTTGCTAGATTTAATTGCTGTTAGCTCCATGTCGTGAACACCTTGGTGATCCTGGAAATTGAAGTGCAACGGTATTGGTTTCAGGGAACCGTTCTACATATCCAAAAGATGTTGTCTGAACCTGTAAGTCGGTCGTAGACCCGTTTCACCGATGTTTCATGCTTCTCTTGCAGTTGATGGCGTACATAACATTGCGGCTGGTTCAATAGAAAGCTTCGCGTATGTGAAAGGCAGCACTGAAGAGTTACGGCTCACGGCTTTGCAAGACAGTCAGCAAGCAGTGAGTAAGAAATGTGGCTATATAAAATGTGGGAAACATACCTTGTCAAACAAGTCAACGTTCTGGTAAAAGTATTTTATATTTTTTTTTATGTCGAAATAAACATAGAGATTTCATATATTTATTTTAAAAACTCAAAAAGGAATTTATGAAAAGAACGCCAATGTCAGATAACAAGAATAGTAAAGACGTCGTGGAAGAAATTATTCGTGTATAGAACTGATTACCTACATCATAATTGGACAACCTACATTCTTTGCTCGCCTCGTGAGACGGAGATAACTGGAGTAGGCCATGACAGTGGCAAAATAAGAAGGAATGGAGGCAGGGGCAGTTCGAGAGAGATGATGATGGACAGTTTGAAGCCATCGCATGGAAGATCATATGTGTTAGAAATGATTGAAGGAACACTAGACAAGTGGATGACTACCAACGCCCCATGGTATGGAAGATCATATGTGTTAGAAATGATTGAAGGAACACTAGACAAGTGGATGACTACCAGCGCCCCATGGCATGGAAGATCATATGTGTTAGAAATGATTGAAGGAACACTAGACAAGTGGATGACTATCAACGCCCCATGGCATGGAAGATCATATGTGTTAGAAATGACTGAAGGAACACTAGACAAGTGGATGACTACCAGCGCCCCATGGTATGGGCTATAATAAATTTCTGATTTTATTTCCTGTTTGTGATGTCTTTACTTTACAAACACATGATGTTCTACAGAACTGAACGATCTTCACAAATATCGGAGAAGCACAATATACCCTATACATCTACATGTGTGAAAATGATCCCATTTTTGTATTCCGCTGAGCAGATATGAATTTTATATATGGGTCATGGAGCATGATAGCCAGGATTTTAAACTTGTGTTATACAATAAATACTTAATTGATTTAGACGAGTGGCCTTTTAAGATGTTCAGAAAAGTTTAAAGTTTTACACTTATCTAGTACACTTCGATAGTGGGGGGGGGGGGGGGAGGGATTATTGCTAGCGCTGGTGAAAGGCAAGAAAGTTTTCAAACTCCTGCCACATCTTCTGAATCGTGTCCAGACGGAGAGTTGCCATTGCAACAGCGACCTTCTCTTTAATGTGCTGGGTGTTCTTCTTAATGCCAGTTAAAGCCTCATGGACACACATAGTTACACGAAACTGTCAGATTTTCTCAACATTTCATGACATCAAATGCATACATCCATTAAATTCTTCTGTTGTAACAACAGTTTCAAATCTTCTCAAACATTCTCGATGACCCTCTGTAGGTTACATTATCATAGTCCTGACGGGTGGCGGAGGCGTCCATGCATCTCCACAGATCTCTGACCCTTGTCCTCTGAATCAGTTCCACCGATGATATCCCTCCGCGACACTGTCGCAGTCCATCCATCATCATCTCTTGGTCGCCTCTTCCTCTTCTATTGTTGATCCTCCAAGTGGTCACAACATTCTCCATTACCTCACACCCCGCCCTCCCCCTCCCCCAATCACATAAACAGAGATCAGTGCTTGACTTTTCCTCAAAGCTGTATATATATATATATATATATATATATATATATATAATTATATATATATATATATATATATATATATATATATATATATATTGATCTGCTGTCATTAGTGTCCTTCAAGCAATCCTGGTTAGTTACTCTGGCGGTCCAAGGGATTCTTAACATTCGTCAACAAAAAAAAAAAAAAAAAAAACTACCCCTCCGTCGCTTCTAAGTTCTTTTTAATTTGTGAATTCTCATTCCATGATTCACTGCCATACATAATTATATTTACATACTTTAATTTTTTTATGATTTTATGGTAATATGTAGTTATAAATCAAGCATTTTCTGAACCTTTTCTAATGTGTAATCTCAAAGTATGCATTATGTAGACAAAAATATAGGATTTAAAAAAAAACCTGATAATAGTAAATGTGTTTATGAAAGTGATAACAAGACAACGCTACAAAGTAAGCACGTAGATTATGAAATCACGAGACAAGTACTACGTATAAAACTGAATGTAAAACAAAATTTGTCGGGGCATACAATCACCATACATGACGTCAGTTGATGTGTACTTGTATGTGATTAAAACACCATGTCATTCGAGATTATTTGGTAAATACCTTCTAGCAAAAACCTCATGACATACTTTTCAGTACTGATGCAATACATAGTTTTTGAAATCCATCCATATATGTTTTATTGATCTAGCTAAATACCTATCTATTTACCCATCATCTATCTATCCTTCTTTCTATCTGTCTATTTATCTATGTATCTATTAGGGCTGTACCGAATAGTGATTTTCACTATTCGGCCGAATATGAATAGCGGGACCAACTATTCGGCCGAATACGAATACGAATAGTGTATCATCATCATCAGGTGCCTTTCCGACTGGCATGGGCAATAATGCCTCGCAACAATGTGCGATCTCCTGCAGCATGTATTAGTTCGTGTGCTGACACACCTCCATACCATGCAACAAGATTGTCAAGAATCTTCTCTCGTTGTTTTCCTCTATCCCTTCATCCACAGATGTTTCCAGTGGTCACCACATGTTCCATTTTCCCTCTTTTCATAATATAGCCGAAATATGATGACTGTCTCCTTCTGATGTCTGTGATAAGTTTTCTTCGGGTTTCCGCCTCTTCCAAAACCTCTTGGTTTCTTTTTTGTGTGGCTGTCCAAGGTATTTGAAGCATTATTCTGTAAAACCACATCTCTGAGATCTCCAGAAATTGTTTGGCCTGCCTACCGATTGTCCAGGACTCTCAGCCATACGTTAAAACTGGATGTATGTAGCAAGCACGAATTCTTTTTCTAACCCTCAATGACAGAGATGTATTGCATAAGATGTTCTTCATTTTATAAAATGCAGTTTTTGCCTGTCTCTTTTCGAAAGTGGCAAGGAAATACATTTTAAATTTTAACTTCTAAGTATATTCATGCCTTCTTAAATAATGTCACAATTTATAGCCGACTTTTCTTGATTTTTGCCGCGGCACCCCTGGCATACGCACCCAGTTTGAGAACCTCTGCTGGTATGCCTCAGTCGAGTCAGCAGGCAAAGACCTTGCCAGCTGCCGTACAACGCAACCGGGTGGCAGTCTCCAACCCCCCCCCCCCCTTCCCCCACCCCCTTTCCGCTACAACAGACTTAGGCAACAGCAACTATTGTGTTAATGAGAGAGTATTTCCGTCCATCGTAGTGTATGCAAAACGGGTGTAAGGCAACCACTATTCGTATTCGGCCCGACCGCAAGTATTCTGCCGAATACCGAATAGTTATTAGGTCCACTATTCGGCCCCGAAGCGAATACGAAGCGAATATTCGGTACAGCCCTAGGATCTATGAATATATCTATCTGTCCATCCTCCAACCATCCAGCCAGCCAACCAGCCAGTTATCTGTCGGACAATCAATCGATCGTTAGATGTCGTGATCTTGCAGTTCTGCAGGCCGACACGACAATTCTGATAACTCTGATATCCCTGTCTCTTCAAACTTGTCCGGCGTCTGCTGGAATAAACTGTCCCCCGCCGACTGTCGGAGAGAGGCAGACAATGTAGTCGGTTCCTTGTAACTGGCTCTTGGAGGAAGAAACATCTCCAGCTTATCCCAAAAACACGGCTCGCCGACTCGCAGGTACTCGTGCGTGTTCATGTAGGCTCGGAGGTCGGGCGAGAGCTCATCGATGTTGATGTCGTCTGTGGCGATGATGATGAGCCGGTTAGCCACCAGAAGCAGACGCTGAAATGCTGTCCTGACCTCCATGATGCACCATTCTTTCTTCAGAAAGTCCTTGCTGAGTACTAGAACAGCGCATCGACTTAGCCGGATTGCCCATGGTAAATTATCAATGACCGACTCCCCTGGAGGAAAATCTCGGTAATGAAGACACAGTCGATACTTCTTGGGTCCGTTTTCTAGGTGTGGGACCAGAGTATCAACAACCCAGCGATAGTTATCTTGGCTGTAGGAGATAAACGCGTCGTATGGATTGAAAAAGTCACCATACGAAAAGCTGTAGCCAAGCCGGAGTCCTAGTTTGGAGTACAATAGAACGTTGATCTCCGACCGGTAACAGATGACGATGACCAAGGTGGACACAACAGATGACAAAGCCAGGCTGATAGCTAGAAATGTGTCCACGTAAGAAGTAGGGTTGCAGTTCAAGTCCATTTCGTTGAGTTCCTCCAGAGGTTTTTTCAAATAGTTGCACACAATGTTGCCTGGCATCCAGAGGGAGGATTTATGCTTGCTGATCCACAGGGGCAACCAGAGGCTGTGGCAAGAGCACGCCCAGCGGTTATTGTGGAGGGTGAGGTTCGTGACGTGGTTCAGTATGATGTTTCTAGTGCTGGATGGTAGCTTCTGGAGCATGTTGTTGTGAAGGGTCATGATTCGAATATTTTGCAGCCCCGCCATAGCTGCGGGGGTGATGGATGTAAGCAAACAGTTGTCCGCGTAGAGTTCTGTGAGGTTTCGAAGATACGATCGATGACTGAGTATTTGTAATGGGTTATGATCCATGTACAAAGCTATAGTTACGTTGGGAATAATCGGGAGACTGTCTGGCATCTCCATCAATCGCTTGGAAGAGCAGTTAACTATAACATGTTTGACGTTGAGAAATTCGCACGAACACATCGGCGGGCACTCGTCAATGATAAGGCATCTATTGTGAAAGTATAGTTGATTGAGGTTCACGCCTCGGAATTCGGGCGGGCCAGTACACTTGAGGTTGTCAAGGTCTATGAAGACCAGCTTGCGTGATTTGTTTACCCCACTGTTTTCTGCCCATCGGTGGCATTGTTCAAAATCCAGCATGTTGCAGTCACAAAAGTATGGGTTCTCCGCAGAAAGCAAGTTTACGTTCAAATATCCCTGCACGGATGTCAGGCAATCTTTGAACGGTGGCTGTGTCAGCCTGTTGTGGGATAAGTCTAGAGTAATCGGACGTAATATCCTTGGCAGTTCGTCAGGCGTAAAAGAGACCAAAAAATTGTTGTTAAGATCGATATGCCTTAATTTGAGGTTCTTGTTGAACACGCCAAGTCCTAAGCTATATATTTTATTGTCGTTTAGATACAACACTTGCAAGTTCTTCAAATGCTCAAATGCCTCTACCGAGATATCCTTGATGCCGTTGTGGCTGAGATCAAGGACTGTGAGATTGCCCAAGTCTCGAAGCGTCTCAACGCTACGGATCTGGTTGAAGCTGAGGTTTATAATTCTAATATCGGGTATGTTTTGGTGATCAGGGATGTCGTACAGCAATATCAGTTCTGTGATCAGATTCCTTGCCAGCGACAGGTAATTTAATCTGATGCGTTGTGAATTCAGCACACACTCTGGAACATGGGTCAGTTTGTTACCATCAAGATTCAAGGTATCCAATCGCTTCGTCAACTGCATTGGACAGTCAAAAGTCTCGATGGCGTTGTCTTGAAGGCTGATAACCGACGTTGACACCAAAAACTTTCCTGTCCAGCGTTTTGGGGTGCTCTGTGCACGAGCTCCTTTCAAGGACAACGTTACCGTATTCATGATGTATCTAATATCAATTATATCTACCAGATTTGGCCCACCTTTCTCTATGTCCATGATCCACATATTCATAGGAATAATTATGGGTTTCTGTTTATCCTGGCTAATAACAGTACAATGATCGCTGGCAAATATGTTAAAAGACGTATGCCAAGACGGAGCATCCCAGATCAAAACCTCTCCGTGGTGGCATTTCACCTCTAGGGAAGTGTCCATTTGCGAGTCAACGCCATTGAGCAGGGACAAAATCGAGTGCGACAAACCATCAGACAGATCGCAAGTTATGACCACAATCCGGTGCAACATTGGGGCCAGTGTGCCTAGGAACATCATGTACTCTGATCTTGCATCAAAATAATTTAGTTCTGGCCTGTACTTCCCACCCATGACAAGAAAATGCTTGAGTGTGTACTGTTTCATTGTATTTTCCAACGCACTGTCTTGGCATCTACACAGGGCCGAACAATTTATTTCTGTTTTGAAAAACATGGAGACGGAAGGGGGAAACTGTGACAGCATGATCGTTACTAGAATAGAGAATCTGATTTCAGCACTGGTGGTCGTCATGGAAGCGTACTTACGGTGGCTCATTGTCGACTTTGAAGAATCCCTTATTCCAGAAATAATGGAACACGTATTTGTACACGAAAATGGGTTCCATTTCTTCAAGTAGCGTGACTTCCGTGGCAACAAGTTGACGTCATGGAGGCAAGAACTTGGTTGCACACTCATTACTGACATTTCGTGCGCACAATGCACATCTTGGAGAACAGGGGCGGAGAAACCATTTTCCCTGTGTGGTTTCCGGAGCCAATTTTGGGGAAGAAAAAAGACCCACTACTTCCCTAACCAGTGTATCGTAAAAAGTGACTAATTAAAGAGGTTTCTTTCGATGTCGGAATACATCTGCCTTAGAGGCAAGGAACCAAACAGTCTGCATGCAAATATGTCGAATCTAACATTAGGCGATTAGAGGAGTGGGTCAAAGTGCCACTCGAACAGTCGGACTAGTGTAGAGTCATAATCGCGCTGAGCCGGGAATGCAGAGACGCCAGCAGGTGCCACAGATGTGGAAATTCAGCAATTAATTCAAGATAATGCTCGCTCAGAGGATTTGATCATTTACACAGACGGTTCAGTGTCAAGAGGCAAAAGAAGTGCTTGGGGCTTCTTAGCAAAAGTTAATGGTACACCAGTACAGGATAGGCATAAAAGAATCCGCTGCCTGTGATTGTGGAGCAGAAAGACAGACCCCTGAGCACATACTACAGTACTGCCCTTACCTCTCCCAGCAAAGACTATGGATCTGGCCCAAGGGAGCCACATTGAGAGAGAAGCTATGGGGGGCCGGTGGTGACCTTAAACGCACAATCCTATTTGTGACCCAGACGGGACTCAATGTTTAGCATGACTGATGTCGAACGCAGAAGAAGAAGAAGAAGAATGGTCGACGTTTGGTGCAGGAGAGCCTAGCATATGATACCACAACATCCAGCTTAAGAATGGAGGTGGAGGCTGTAACTGCAGCTTTCCGCTGGCTAGAGAACACGACACACACACACACACACACACACACACACACACACACACACACACATAGACACACATGGTGATTGTAACTGATTCAGAAAGCATGCCGAGGAAGATCAGAACAGGAATGCTTCGTACAGAGTGGCATGCTTCGCTGCGGAGGACACGAGTAAGAAGTATTGTCTGGATTTTTTCACCGGGTGACGCCGTTGTGTTGGGAAATGAACAGGCGGACAGACTGGCTGGCTCTGCACAACTTGGTGGAATACTGATACATGATAAGGCAGACGTGGTTAGTGCCTTGTGGAAGAGCGTGTACAGTTCGGAGGAGCAGACGGATCACCACAGTCTGGTGAGATTGATGCAGGGGGGAGTGATGAGATGTTCTGGCAGATCCTCGAGGCTCAGAGGAAAGGCAAGACGGACGTTTAATAAAAATGCTACTGGCACCATTAGTATCGGAACACTTCGCTGGCTGCTGAAGATGGGGACGGAGCACATATGGGACTGTCCCGAGTGCTGTGATGTCGGTTCTTGAATCAAATCAAATAAAATCATATGTCGAATCTTTAATATGGAGGTATATGCACAACTCAGGTCCCGGAGCAAGACCAGAGTCCAGATGTGTGTGAACAACCAGGACCTGCTGGTGAAGGAGAAGAGAAAACCCCTGAGCGTATCATTATCATCAGCAACATCATCATCATCATCATCTGTGGTCCTTTTATGTTCAACATAGGTCCCGTTGTTTTCTGCTATCCTATATTAAAATTTTTTTCCGATACCATGGGTGAAAACCAATACAGAACACGTGACCTCTCTTCAACGATTTCTCTGGAAATTTCCTCGTTTGCTCAGTCTGTATGTTCCCCATTTCAGTGACTATTTAAGTGATTCTTTGTCGCCTTGTGCGTTACAAGCTTTGAATTAGAGTTCTAGGAAATATGTTGTTTTTTTTTTTTTTTTTTTTTTTTTTGTAAGAGGTAGAAAGGTCGCTATATTAGCTTCATTCTCTCGGGTGAGGGATTTTATCAATTTTTCACTTGTTCCACAGTCTGCTTTTTGCCTTCAGCTTTTAACTCCAGCATGGTTTTTATAACAAACAACGGTCCTGAAATCTCATGGTAAAACCGTGGAAGATTTTTTCTTAACGCAGGGGAGGGGGTGGGGGGGGGGGCCTTGCTAGTCACACTCGCCATGGGCTGTTAGTCCCATGCTTCATTATAGCGCACTATAGCACTATGGTCTGGAAAGACGGAGAGGTGCCAATCAGGTTTTTATAAGTGACATCTTTTCCCTCCAATATATCAGCCGTCTCTACAATAAAGGTTGGCAGAAAGAGATTTCCAGCCAACCATCTCTTGTCTTGGTAGTACTCTCTATCTCTCTCTCTCTCTCTCTCTCTGTGTCTGTGTGTATGTGTGTGTTATCGTCGTTTAAAGCCAAACTTCTTTAGTATTCAGTTCTTGAAGTATGGATGCATTTGTTCTTTTCTTTACCTATGATATTCTTAGAACCCTTCAATAAAATGTGTATTCAAAGGCATGTATGTATGCATTGTTCAGCTTGTTTAGTAAGTGTTCAGTCTCACAGGCGTATGTTGCAATTGGAAAGATGCATGCTCTTAGTAATCTAATTTTTGTAGTTCTGTCTGTCCCATTCCATAATGTATTCAATTGTTTTAGTCTCTGAAGAGAAATTGATAATCATCGTTTAATTTCCTTCATTGTGTCACCAGTGTGTTGTTTCAGTCAGTCAGTTGAATGTCCTTTGCAGAACTTTGCTCCCATAACGGGCGAAGTCTAGTGTGGCCTTGTGCCACAAGACCGCTACGGTAGCCACAAAGACCATCCTGGATCACCTCGAAATGTCCTGGCCAACGGGGCTCAGGTGAAGCTGCGACAGACCTAGCAAGCCGGCCATGGATGTAATACCACTACAAGTACAATGAGATATACTAATGGTTGATCTAGTAAAAGTAATTGGCAGTTACCCAAATATAAGGCAACAGGTGCTGATAGATTACCAACAGAAATAATCCAAGTAGCTGGGAAAAGCAACACTAGATGGCTTAATAGAATATTCAATGCGGCATGGGTACAACAAACTGCTCCCATTAAAGGCATACCAAAAGAGGAGAGTAACGCAGAGCAAGAGGTAGACAAAGAACAATATGGAAGAATAACATCCGAGAAACTCTACAGTACCACCATGTGTCTTTGGTCGAAGCAGCCAGAAAAGCACGAAACAGGACCTTATATATTCCTCGACACCCGAAGCAGTAAAATAGGATGTAAAGAAGAAGTGTCACCCTTGTTGGTAATCAGTGACGGTCTCAAATTGTTCCACAAGCCTCCAATCTTTCCTCATTAACACATATTTCTCTCTCCATAATAGTTTTATCTGTATGCATTATCTTAATTTTTGCTATGTGTTGCGTGCTGATTTAGGAGAGTGTAATATTGTGTGGAGGGACAGAGTGGTATGATAGTACTTTCCGGGAGTTCAATGGGAACAGTGTCAACATTGGCCCGAGTAGTCAGGGGGAGAGAATGTTGATCAGTGAGAAAGTGTCACGAGAAAGTAGATGCGTCGGTTCACTGTGTGGGGCTGGCAAGCATGGCTAACGATATGCACAAGGAAAGTCTGAATTACGTGACAGCGTGATTCTCATGTAACATAAGCCACCTACATCCTCGAGAATACCTACATGAGCACGACTCCCGAGAGCGCCCACACAGGCGTGCCATTCGTGTAACATCAGCCGCCCACATGGGTTCGGCAGAGATATATTGGGGCTGCGTAGTCAGTCAGAGCAAGACAGACAGAGAGAGAGAGAGAGAGAGAGAGAGAGAGAGAGAGAGAGAGAGAGAGAGAGAGAGAGAGAGAGAGAGAGAGAGAGAGACTAAGTCAGGGTCCGTCAGTATCTCTTGAGTGAGACAGAGTACAGTGCAACTATTAGGCATCAAGGTCTGAGGAGGGGTTGTGGTTGCGGTACTGGTCGAAGGTATAGTCCCGCTAGCGAAATAAGTCCAAGGGGACTGGATGCTCCAATAGTGACTGGGTGACGGCGCAAGGGGACGTAGGGTCACCACGGAAACAGAACAGTAGGGATGCCGAAAAGAGATGTGTGCTAGAGGGGACTTGTGTTAGAAGTCGAGCCCAGAGTTGCGGGACGCTGTAGACCTTCGGAACTGTAGTGGTCAGAGAGCGGAGGCTACAAATTGAGAGAGAGTGATGACTATATAGACTAGGTGCGAATGCCAAATAGGATCTAAACAGTTAACACACACATAAAACTCATTAAACAATGAAAATACGTAAAACTGATTTAACAATGAACATACATAAAACTGATTTAATAATGAACATACGTAAAACTGATTTAACAACGAACATACACACAGAAAACTGATTTAACAATGAACATACATAAAACTGATTTAACAATGAACTTACACAAAACTGATTTAACAATGAACATACATAAAACTGATTTAACAATGAACATACACACATAAAACTTATTTAACAATGAACATACATAAAACTGATTTAACAATGAACATACGTAAAACTGATTTAACAATGAACATATACACATAAAACTGATTTAACAATGAACATACGTAAAACTGATTTAACAATGAACATACGTAAAACTGATTTAACAATGAACATATACACATAAAACTGATTTAACAATGAACATACGTAAAACTGATTTAACAATGAACATATACATATAAAACTGATTTAACAATGAACATACATAAAACTGATTTAACAATAAACATACGTAAAACTGATTTAACAATGAACATATACACATAAAACTGATTTAACAATGAACATACATAAAACTGATTTAACAATGAACATACGTAAAACTGATTTAACAATGAACATATACACATAAAACTGATTTAACAATGAACATACATAAAACTGATTTAACAATAAACATACGTAAAACTGATTTAACAATAAACATACGTAAAACTGATTTAACAATGAACATACACACATAAAACTGATTTAACAATGAACATACATAAAACTGATTTAACAATGAACATACACACATAAAACTGATTTAACAATGAACATACATAAAACTGATTTAACAATGAACATACACACATAAAACTGATTTAACAATGAACATACACACATAAAACTGATTTAACAATGTACACACACACATAAAACTGATTTAACAATGAACATACACACATAAAACTGATTTTAAAATGAACATACACAAATAAAACTGATTTAACAGTGAACATACGTAAAACTGATTTAACAATGAACATACACACATAAAACTGATTTAACAATGAACATACGTAAAACTGATTTAACAATTAACATACACACATTAAACAATGAACATACACACGTAAAACTAATCAAAAAATGCACACATAAAACAGATCAAAAAATGAACATACACACATAAAACAGATAAAAAAATGAACATACAGACATAAAACAGTCAAAGGAATGAATATAAACATATAAAACATCAAAAAATGAACATACACACATAAAACAGATCTAAAAATAACATACACACATAAAACAGTCTAAGGAATGAACATACACACATAAAACAGATTAAACAATCAACATATACTCACATAAAACAGTCTAAGCAATGAACATACACATATATAACAGATTAAACAATGAACATACGCACATAAAACAGTCTAAGCCATGAACACACATAAAGCAGACTAAGCAATAAACACACACAAAACAAATTAAAGCAGTGAACTCAAAAATACAGATAAACAGGACAAAGAAAGCTTTAATTCAAGAAAGTAATAGCACAACTTTCAAGATTTCTCAAAATTAACACTGAGTGTTTAAAATTGCAAAATCAAACAAGCTACGTGCATGACCCTGCACTTCAACAACACTTGAAAGCAACAGTAAAACAATGAGCATATGACATGCATCAATCATTAAATGCTATCACAGACTGGTTTTGTTGCTCTCACTCAACAAACAAACAAAGAACATCTATTTCTGGGTATAAGGCATGCCTAGTATATGGTGCTCATCCCATAGATTTATAGATCAAAACTCATATAGACAGCCAGTATGCGGGTGACACCTTTACTTTCCAGAATATACTGACAAACAAATGATTGGCACCCCATGGGGTCACCATGCACAGGTTGAGAACCGCTGCTGTAGTGAGAGACAACAGCCAAGTGTAGTGTATTGGGCTACCACAGCTGCCAGGTTGTCATGTTTTCAATCCCCACCATGACACGCAGGCTACCACAGCTGCCAGGTTGTCATGTTTTAAATCCCCATCATGACAGGCAGGCTACCACAGCTGCCAGGCAGCTTGGTTGTCATGTTTTCAATCCCTATCATAACAGGTTATCTCAATTGAGCTCTCTACCCAGTTAAAAAAACGTGTATCAAATGTTCTGGAGTCGGTGAAGGATACTTTCTACACCAGTGGCATGTTAGGCAAATAATGCTAGTCCCATAAGTGTATCAACTAACTGGTGTTCCATGGGTCCTGTGCTTAAATGTACTTGTCATGACATTAGCTGGCACCCATTTTAGGTTGGGTTCACCAGGGAGCTGAGGTCAATGACGTCAAGGTCACTTTACATGCCAGTGGTGTATTGGGCATATGAGGCTAGTCTCATGTTTTTTTTATAGACAAATCAACTCTCAATGGATGTGGTCAAAACTTTACTTCCCTTGTCTTTACCCGGACCCCATTTAAGACTGGGTCTATCTGGGAGTAAAGGTCATTTTGGGGGGTGGGGGGGGGGGGGGGGTGCACACAAATTTCAGATCTGAACCCATGATATTCGGATCCACAGGTGTGCGTCTAGCCACCACATCACAGCGGTTCGCAAGCCGTGCTAAATATTGGAGAAACAAAACCCACCTCTGTATGCACCTGCACCTTAGAATCTCCTCAAGACAACTTGCAACACACTGACCACAACAGCCACTGGCTTCATAAAAATCATAGGCAGCAATATGGGAAAGATTCTGACACTTTCCGTTTTTACCAATATTTTACTCAGCTGCTACAAGTGGCACTGGAGACACGTGGCTTCCAGGAATGAAAACTGTCTTCTAGTTCAAATTCCCACAAACAGAAACTCTGAAAGAACTTTGTAACAATTAAGGCACTTGACCGGCTGCAAAAACCCAATGATTGCTATTTAAATAGTTTTTTTCACAGGTGAATTTCCCCTAAAATATGACATCAGGGGAATGTACAAATCAGGTGATTAACCAGCATTAAAAGTCTGTGGTTAAGCCCCAGCAAGGAAATCAAAGTTAAAATTGTGAGAGCATGCATCTTCCCTGTGGCAACATACGGATGGGAGTCAGGGACTATCTCCCAGTCCTTTAGACTGAAAATAGGGGCTTTTGAGCAGAAATGCTAAAGAAAGACTCTCAGCCTATTATGGACAAAGAAAAGGAGAAATACTACATTTTAAACAATCGGAATATCAAGGAAGATGGGCTAATAAACAGCGCCATTGCAGATTGGAAAAAAAAATAATAGCAGAAAGCATGGTACCAGGAAGGAGGGGCAGGGTCTGACCAACATGAAGATGCGCATGGGATATAAGTGACTCCTTGAGTGTGAAAGCACCTGAGGTGGGGGAGCTGGCGAGAGACCGAGTTTCTTTCATGCAGACCGTGATGAGAGCGACGTTCTGCAAAGGACCTGTAACATGATGATGATGATGATATCAGGTGAAGTGTCTAAAATATGACAGCATGCAAATTCTCCGTAATATGTGGCCACAGGCATATTTTCAGTAGAATAAAAAATGATGATAGGTTAATTGTAGGTGAACATGGAGACTCAGTAAAACTGCCCTAAGACGAGTGGCATGTGGCAAATATTGTGTCAAACAGTTCCAAACATGATGATTAAAAACTCAACTATGAACATTCCAACTCAATAACTGGTTATAACTCAATGTTTTCAACTTTCTTCTTCTTCTTTGACTTCTTGTTGCCGTCTCTGTCGTAACCACTGAGGGGATCGGTGGCTTCTCTGGCCAGGAACTTGATTATATCATCTACTTCTCGCTCTCCCTGTAATTCAGAATAATGATCATCATCAAGTGTATTGGTAACTAGTGTGGGAAATCATGCCTCCCCACAGTTAGTAGTTATAGTAAAACTAAAAATTTGTTTTTCTAAAGCTCTGGATCTGCTTTTCTACTAGCAGAAAACAAATCTCTATCCCCTACCAAAGGTCGAACCCACGTCTCCCACAAGACAGCCCAACCCTATAACCACTCACTCCTTGCTAAATTAAAACATGTTTTATCACAGTATTGCAAAGTATCTGTACCGAATAGTTGAAACAGAGGCATTCAAAGGGAAACACTGATTGAAAAAGCTTTCCATCCTATACCACATAGAGAACCTGCATCTCTTGCAAGAAGCTCTCAAGCCACTTGGCCAGTCACTTCTTGCAAAGTGAGTAGACTAAACTAAAACATACTTCATCACAGTATGGCAAAGTATCTTTACAGAATAGTTGAGGCAGTTTACACATGTGACCACCAACTAACTCTCTTAACCAAGGATAGGGTGCTGCATGGTCTCAAGGCATGGTGTCCGCCTCAAGTGCTAGAGGTTCTGGGTTCAATCCTCTGTAAGGGTTGGAATTTTTTTCAGGTGGACTTGGACTTTTAGTAATTCCCCCTGGTCTCTGGATAGTGAGATCGGATGCATGTGTGCATTGTTGCACATGTAAAAAAAAAAAATCCCTTGGCAGTTGGAAATCAAAAACCGAGCAAACTTTTGAGTCAAAAATTTACCCCAAAGTATGTCAGGATCCTCACTAGTGCTACAGATCCTGTGCATTGTGTTGAGCTTCTTCAGACTCAGACTTAAGTTAGAAAAAGAACGGAGCACTTTTGGGTTACTACCCATGTGCCATGATGTTGATCTGTTGTTCAAAACCTCAAACCTCAAAGTCAAGGATAAATTACATGGATCCTTTCATTATTTGGTAAAATTTCCTTGCCAGTTGTAAACTGTAAAGAGAACATCAAATAAGCAACTTTTCTTCTTCCCCTTTATTCCCTAATGGAGCAAAGGCCCTCAACCAACTCACGACAAGTCGCCCCATCTTTTGCTGTCACAGGTAGATCACCCCATCTTTTTAACTTCACTATGTAGCTGCCTTCTCCATGTGTTTTTCAGTCTGCCTTTATTTCTATGCCCCTGTGCATTCTAGTGCAAAGACATGTTATTATTATTGTTTTCTGGTTTTCACAATGTGGGTCGTATTCAATGCAAGTGTTTTTTCTTCCCACTTGATTCATTAGAATTTGCTTAGTTTTCACCCACAGCTCCACATTGCTTAGACTAACAGAATAGGTTTACAATTAGAAAACCTTTCACACACACACACACAAATATATATAGCTTATATGACAGATATACAGATACAAGAATCCTAGTGCTGTGGAATTTGTGTATAATGGTGAACTTTTCATGTGATCTTCAAGAGAAGATTGAGCACTAAGAGAAATATCCATGTGCAATGGAAGTGATCCTGTATCATAACCAATTCTGTACTAAGGTAGCATTGACACACAATGACATGATTACTGACCATAGCAGAAACCTATGCCAGTAATGATATCACATTGTGTTGTTTTGTCTCTTGTCCTGCTGATGAAGTCTAACTGCAGCAACATCCTTTGTTAACTATAACTGATTTGATCAAGTGGACATGTACCAGTCCTACAATTATCTCAAGAGCAAAAGATGAGATAGTTTAGTCATCTGATAAGAATACCCTGGTACCAACTGCCACAGACAGCCACTTTTAAGAAATATGATGAACACAGGTAAAGTAGAAGACAACACAAAAGATGGAATAACTGTATCAAGACCTGCCTGAAAGAAATGAAGAACAACTTATTCAACACTTAACAAGCACAGAGATCCTTACATGCTCCCCCAATACTTCAATGAAGTTGCTGGAGGAAAAAAAAGGAGAAAAAAAAATGTGACATAAACTTTACGTTTTCCAATCTTGTATATGAAATACTCACATCATATATCTTGGGAGAGCTCTTTCGATCCTTGGCAGCAAAATAAATTGTTGGAAACCTGGAAAACAAATTGCACATTAAAAAACAAATTATAGGTTACAATACAGACATGTACATAGAAGTACACAAGTACAGTGTGGGGTAGTTTGTGTTGCTGGCTGGTAAACCTGAATATTGCTGAGTATAGCTCTTGTCCTAGCTCCTCAGCTCTAACATGTGGCATATTCAGTGTTTTATTAGTTAACTCTGAATGTTTATCAAACCTATCAGCCACTGGCATACAATGACATACTTGGCTGTTTTAGAGTGTCAACTGACAACCCAAGTAAATGTCTAAACTCTGCTATGGTCAGAATTTCAACTTCTGACCATCAGATTTGCAGGCAAGTGTTCTAGCCGTTGAGTTATATGACTCTAAACTAATATGATACACCAGGTCACTCTGTTTCAAATGATAATTAACCTAAAACTATAACCCCTGCAAAAAATGTTTATTCCAAACCTTTGAGTCCACTACCCTTAGAAACTTTCGAGTCCAATTCCCTCACAACCTTTGAGTCCACAACTACCCTCACAAGCTTTGAGTCCACAACCTTTAAGTCCACTCCCCTCACAATGTTTGGAGTCCACTACCCTCACAACCTTTCAGTCAACTACCCTCACAAACATTGAGTCCATTACCCTCACAACCTTTCAGTCCACTACCCTCACAACCTTTGAGTCCACTTCCCTCACAACCTTTGAGTCCACTACCCTCACAATCTTTGAGTCCACTACCCTCACAATCTTTGAGTCCACTACCCTCACAACCTTTGAGTCCACCACCCTCACAACCTTTGAGTCCACCACCCTCACAACCTTTGAGTCCACCACCCTCACAATCTTTGAGTCCACTATCCTCACAACCTTTGATTCCACTACCCTCACAATCTTTGAGTCCACCACCCTCACAACCTTTGAGTCCACCACCCTCACAATCTTTGAGTCCACTATCCTCGCAACCTTTGAGTCCACTACCCTCACAACCTTTCAGTCCATTATCCTCCCAACCTTTGAGTCCACTACCCTCACAACCTTTCAGTCCATTATCCTCCCAACCTTTGATTCCACTATCCTCCCAACCTTTCAGTCCATTATCCTCTCAACCTTTGATTCCACTACCCTCACAATCTTTGAGTCCACTACCCTCACAATCTTTGAGTCCACCACCCTCACAACCTTTGAGTCCACTACCCTCACAATCTTTGAGTCCACTACCCTCACAATCTTTGAGTCCACTACCCTCACAACCTTTGAGTCCACAACCCTCACAATCTTTGAGTCCACTACCCTCCCAACCTTTCAGTCCATTTTCCTCCCCACTACCCTCACAATAAGAGCTGTAGTGGTCTTTATGTCAACCCTCAGAACAGCAGAATTATTTTTTCTAACAAAAAAAGGCTCAAGGATCAGCCAAGCGTAATAAAATTAGAACAAAAATTTGTCTACACTTTCTAGGAGCTGTGTGGGACAGAAAGGCAATGGGGAAAGAAAATGGCCACCATACATCATTCGAGAGGGCTTCAAACCTAAACCTCACAAGTGTGATGGACATTACAATAACCACGCCAGTGTCCCGCAACCTGCCAATACTGTTGTTAGGGATGTGAAGAGTGTTAGGCATGTGACATCACAGTGACAGCATAATGACAGTTCAAATCAGTCAGTAAATGAAGGTCAGGTATGGTGATCCACACCTGTCAGTCCAGCAGCTGTATGAGTGGAGTAGAAAGTTTCAAAATGATGTCGCTTCTGTGACAGAATCTTCTTGACCAGGTCAGGGACACTGACTGGTGACTTCAGAGACAATAGCAGCCGTTTTGAGACATAAACAGAGCAAAGTGGATATCACGAATGAGGGAATCATGTAAGTGGGGTAATTAATGTGTATACTTGCACAACTACAGAAACTAACGATGACTGCTTAGAAAAGTTTAATGAATGCAGAAAATTATACACAACTATTAAAAAAAAAAAAAGGAACAGAAATAAGGTCAAGTAAAAAAGAAGTGAAGCAATATAAATAATTCATCGATGCTTGCAGGGGCAGAGTGAGAAGAAAGATGTGATGGTGGCGTGGGGAAATACCGTCAACAGGAACTGATCCACAAAAGAGAGGATCGGAATCTATGAAGAGGCATCATTACTTACATCATCTGGCAGGACATGTGATGATAATGACTGTATATGTTTCTTCTTCATGTTCACCGGCTGTAAACTCTGGTGAAAGGTTTTGGTTCTTCATTCAGTTATAGACTTGGATCTAGTTTCAGAACTAGAGTTTTATGTGCACATCTGTTTTACATATCTGGCATAACTGTGTGCAGAATGTTGGTTCCTTGCCTCTCAGGCAGATGCACTCTGACTTCAAAGGAAAACCCCCCAATTAGTCAGCGTTTACAACATGCTTTTGTAGGGAGCAGTGGATCCACTCTTATTCCCCCCTCAAACAGGGAACAGGAACCCACACTGTGATCCCTGTGTACAAATATGACTATCAGAACCACATGGAGTCACTGAAAAAAACACAAGCAAACACGGGGCACAGACACGGCCCTCACTGACCCGGAGACTTCATAAGGAGAAGACACATCATTTGCAGTGGCATCCATTTTAGCTATGATAATATCTTGCTCCTTTTGTAACTGAAAATAATGTAACATAAACACTGCATCATATTTGTGTCATAATAACACAATGGATTTTATAGCAATTTTATCAAATCTTTGTCTCAGTTTATCATTATATATAATTTTATCATTGTCATGTTGTTACTGTTGAATAAGGCATTCACAAGCGATCTCCACTGCTGCCGGTCAACTGCTATTCTGCCTACGATATCCCATGTCATTTTACATTCTTCTACTTCCCTTTCAACTGTCCTTAGATCATCCACATGTCCTTTTCCCATCTAGCGTCCACCAGAGAGCTGTACTTGCGAGAGTGTCACTAGGTATTCTGCAAACATATTCAAGCTAGCGTCCACCAGAGAGCTGTACTTGCCAGAGTGTCACTAGGTATTCTGCAAACATATTCAAGCTATCTCCATCCTCTTCCTTTGATAATATTTGCCAGTGATAAACATTGATAAGTGATAACAGTGATGAGCTGCAGGAGTTTCAAGGAAAGACAGAATACGAAATCATGAAATCAGACGAATACTAGGAATAAAGCCAGTCTTACAGGTCATCAAAGAACAACAAATGAAATGGTTTGGATACCTAACAAGAATGCCCTGGTACTATCCGCCACAGCGAGCCACACTAAAACGTTACAACGGGTATAAAGCGAGTGGAAGACCTCGAAAAATATGGAGTGATGGCATTAAGAACAGCCTTACAGAAGTGAACATCAGTCTTAATAGTGCTCTTGACAGAGCTTATCAGTGAACATTACATCTCCTCCCGACACTTCACTGAGGTACAAGATGGAAGAAAAGAACAAGAAGATAAACATTTGGTTTTATGATTATGTAATCACCTAGTCATTAATTTGTTTGCATTTGTGACTTTTAAAGCTTTAACGTTTATGAACTGTTGTGTAATGATCTTACAAGAAAGTGAGAGAATCAAATAATGAATAAAAAGTGATAGACAGAAGAATGAGAAATGAACAAGTTTGGTTATTAATTCTTTGAAAATAAAGTGTGTTTATTTCTGGATGTGGTGCAGAGATTGATTGCAATTTAGTTTGGTCTTTCCTTTTCTAATCTAGGATATCTAAACATGTATATTCTTTTCTCATCTGTTTTTTGTTTTGTTGTTTTGTTTGTTTTTTCACCTTTCATGTTGCCTTGAGTGCATATATGCCTAATGACTGTGTTTAGTCTGGCCTTTTTAAACTGGAGCGTAGTGGTATCTCAAGTCTCACTTAACTGTTGCCATTCTACATAGAGTGTACTGGTAGATGTTTCAAATCATATTTAGTCTGCAGTCTTCTAATCTGATATGTAGAGTTTTGGTTAATTTTTTCTCCTTTTTTTTCCAAAGTGTAAGAGTTTTTGCGTAATGCTTGCATTTGAAAATCTATGACACATTCATTAACATTTGTAAAGTATTTTTGTGGTGTTGTTGTTGTGAGCGTGTTTAACCACAAGATTTACAAACAAAACAGGAACGAGATGGATAAAATAGGAAATCATGAGAGAAAAATAAAGCGGAGGAGTGAAAAAGATCTATGATGGAGGGACTTCATTTACTAATTTCTTAACTGTCTTCGATCTGAGTTTTTGGTGGTCTGGTCTTGTCACGGCTTTCCTTGAAGGTTTTGGTGCGATGTTTCAGTCTGATAGTTATCACACAAAAATGGTTCTTGTCTTCTCCTGTGGTGTCAAGAAGGTATTCTTGAACTTTCATCAAATTTTCTTGTTTCTGTCTAACATTTCAGTTTTATGGTTTAATGGGTGAGGGAAATGTATGCACAAAAGACAGTGGGGAATATTGCACAATGACATCCCTGCCTATGCATGTTGTCACAAGGTCAAAGTTATGCGATGACTTAACTTTTATTCAAAGCTCGAGACCTATGGCTAGTTTTAACTCTTTAAGTCTGACATACTGGTGTCCAGCTCGCCCAGATCCTAAAATGGATGTGCATTTATCACAGTGAGGTTGGTGTAAAGTACATTTTTTGTTGCAACCAAAAACACCATCTCCAAAACTGATGCAGTAATACAAGTGAACCACTGCTGACGCAAAGTTCGCTAGAACAGAATATGATGTGTTCATCGGGACAGGTCAAAAGGCTGTCTGTAAGAAATTGCAATATCGGAAAATGTGTTCACAGTGGAAACCATGAGTACTGATGTGATAAACATTTGCTTCAATGAGCAACCACAATCCATTTTTTTTAGGACAGCCTTCGTGCCTACCTTAGCAATGGAAGGCTTGCCAGAATGCCTCAGCGACTTTTTCTGACCAGCCTATGGTGTATAATTCCTTGAAAATAAATACTGTGTCACCTGTTGATGTTTTTTCATGCTTTTGTTAAAAATTAGCCATGGAAATGGGTTTTAAATGAACGCTCATTTTAAAATCCAAGAGATCTACAATACTGGACTAACAACAATTACCTTTCTTGCCACCTCTTCATACTTTGGAGCCAAGCTTTTACAGTGGCCACACCAGGGGGCATAGAACTCAATAAGAACATCTTTTGTCTCATCGTTCACAATGTCATCAAAGTTCTTAGCCACCACAACCTATTTTAAGATAAATAACGTTAACAATGTCGTCAAAGTTCTTAGCCACCACAACCTATTTTGAGATAACTAACGTTAACAATGACGTCAAAGCTTGTGACTAACACTATATATTTTAGATTAATACTATTAAAAATATAATCAAAGTTCTAATATACTTTAGAAAAATAATTAAATACCCAAAACAGAATTAACACACACAAAACTGTTGGCTGAGGACAAACTAATTTATCTATTAATGTAGTTGCTACTACTTTGATGGTTACTGTGAAACCACAATAAGGCCTTCAGCCTCAAATTGAAATGGTGTGACCTAGATTGTACAAAGACTAAAACACTGCATGCCACAAGAAAGAACTGATTTGGGATTCAAGACTAATGGTTTGTGCCTCTAGATTTTAAATAGTCTCACTTTTCCGGGATGTAATTTTGTTATCTTACTCAAGAAACAAAAAACTAGAAAAGAATATACTGCCATATCATCTTATAAATGAAATGGTGGTAAACATATGACCATGCTGTCTTGTAAACAGAATAGTATTGATTAAAAATTGACAGCTGTCTCGTAAACGGAAAGTTGTTGACGAAAATATGACCATGCTGTCTTGTAAACAGAATGGTGATGATGAAAATATGATCATGCTGTCTTGTAAACAGAATAGTATTTGATGAAAAAAATTGACATGCTGTCTCGTAAACGGAAAGTTGTTGACGAAAATACGACCATGCTGTCTTGTAAACAGAAAGGTGATGATGAAAAATATGATCATGCTGTCTTGTAAACAGAATAGGTTGATTAAAAATTGACAGCTGTCTCGTAAACGGAAAGGTGTTGACGAAAATATGACCATGCTGTCTTGTAAACAGAATGGTGATGATGAAAATATGATCATGCTGTCTTGTAAACAGAATAGTATTGATTAAAAATTGACAGCTGTCTCGTAAACGGAAAGTTGTTGACGAAAATACGACCATGCTGTCTTGTAAACAGAATGGTGATGATGAAAATATGATCATGCTGTCTTGTAAACAGAATAGTATTGATTAAAAATTGACAGCTGTCTCGTAAACGGAAAGTTGTTGACGAAAATATGACCATGCTGTCTTGTAAACAGAATGGTGATGATGAAAATAAGGATCATGCTGTCTTGTAAACAGAATAGTATTGATTAAAAATTGACAGCTGTCTCGTAAACGGAAAGTTGTTGACGAAAATATGACCATGCTGTCTTGTAAACAGAATGGTGATGATGAAAATATGATCATGCTGTCTTGTAAACAGAATAGTATTGATTAAAAATTGACAGCTGTCTCGTAAACGGGAAGTTGTTGACGAAAATATGACCATGCTGTTTTGTAAACAAAAAGGTGTTTATGAAAATATGACTGTGCTGTCTTGTAAACATAAAAATGTTTTTAAAAATATGACCATGCTGTCTTGTAAACAGAAAGGTGTTAAAGAAAATACGACCATGCTGTCTTGTAAACAGAATGGTGATGATGAAAATATGACCATGCTGTCTTGTAAACAGAAAGGTGGTAAAGAAATAATGACCATACTGTCTTGTAAACAAAAAGGTGTTAAAGAAAATATGACCATGATGTCTTGTAAACAAAAAGGTGTTAAAGAAAATATGACCATGCTGTCTTGTAAACAGAATGGTGATGATGAAAATATTACCATGATGTTTTGTAAGCAGAAAGGTGTTGATGACCATGCTGCCTTGTGAACAAAAAGGTGTTAAAGAAAATATGACCATGCTGTCTTCTAAACAAAAAGGCGTTGAGAAAAGCATGACTATTTATCCTCTCGTTAGAGAGGTGTGGTAAAAACACGCCTTTACAGAAAGATGTAGAAAAAAATTACCCCTATGTCATTTGTCAGCAGAAAGTAAAAAGGAGCCTTTTCCACTTCTTAAGGGGCATTCAGCTTATTAGTGGCTAGACATATGTATGATAGACCACCAATCGGCATATTAGTGGCTAGACATATGTATGATAGACCACCAATCGGCATATTAGTGGCTAGACATATGTATGATAGACCACCAATCGGCATATTAGTGGCTAGACATATGTATGATAGACCACCAATCGGCATATTAGTGGCTAGACATATGTATGATAGACCACCAATTGGCATTAGGTGGCTGATCTGGTCAACATCACACAGGATGTCTTTACTTCCCAGGTCTTTACCTAGTACCCATCTAAAGCTGAGTTGACCTAGTAGTCAAGGTCTTTTTTGAAGAAAAAAATGTTCGGCACTGCAGGACCCACACATAAGACCTTCGGATGAGAAGGTGAACATTCAACCACTACATCATGGTGGCTAGCCTGCCAATAGAAAGATCTTTGAAAAAATGTGATCAAGCCATCTAGAAAATAGAAAGATGTTGAGGAAAATACAAGGATGCTATCATGCATATCTGACATCAAAACATGCATGTCCTACCAGCCACAGGGTAGCAGGCCACATGCACAGCAAGTTAACTAGAAACTCACAGAAGTAGGACACAAAGAGAGCTCAGCCAGTACCATCTAGAGAACACAACAAATGCTGCTTAAGAAACATTTCCATCAGCACAAACATCAGCTGGCTCACACATCTCCGCTACCTTGACAGGTTCATCATTTGAAACAGGCACTGGCTCCGATTTGACGTAAGGTTCAATTTTGCCAGCTAGAAAGCCCCGGACAAAATGCTCAAATGATTCAACACTGAAATAAAGCGTTTAAAAAATTTACGTTTATTACTACAATAAAACAATCTGCATATACATATATATTTATAAAGTGGCGGAAACTGTCTGTTAGGGTTTTCTTTATATTTAATGTTTATAAATGCATATGTGTACGATGATTAAGACAGACAGCTAAGAACACCTCAGACTGAAGTTAGTGCTAGTAATGAATCAGATACCAGATAGACAGTTAAGAACACCTCAGACTGAAGTTAGAGCTAGTAATGAATCAGATACTAGATAGACAGCCAAGAACACCTCAGACTGAAGTTAGAGCTAGTAATGAATCAGATACTAGAGAGACAGCTAAGAACACCTCAGACTGAAGTTAGAGCTAGTAATGAATCAGATACTAGAGACAGCTAAGAACACTTCAGACTGAAGTTAGAGCTAGTAATGAATCAGATACTAGAGAGACAGTTAAGAACACCTCAGACTGAAGTTAGAGCTAGTAATGAATCAGATACTAGATAGACAGCTAAGAACACCTCAGACTGAAGTTAGAGCTAGTAATGAATCAGATACCAGATAGACAGTTAAGAACACCTCAGACTGAAGTTAGAGCTAGTAATGAATCAGATACTAGATAGACAGCTAAGAACACCTCAGACTGAAGTTAGAGCTAGTAATGAATCAGATACTAGATAGACAGCTAAGAACACCTCAGACTGAAGTTAGAGCTAGTAATGAATCAGATACTAGATAGACAGCTAAGAACACCTCAGACTGAAGTTAGAGCTGGTAATGAATCAGATACTAGAGAGACAGCTAAGAACACCTCAGACTGAAGTTAGAGCTGGTAATGAATCAGATACTAGAGAGACAGCTAAGAACACCTCAGACTGAAGTTAGAGCAAGCAATGAATCAGATACCAGATAGACAGCTAAGAACACCTCAGACTGAAGTTAGAGCTAGCAATGAATCAGATACTAGATAGACAGCTAAGAACACCTCAGACTGAAGTTAGAGCTAGTAATGAATCAGATACTAGAGAGACAGCTAAGAACACCTCAGACTGAAGTTAGAGCTAGTAATGAGTCAGATACTAGATAGACAGCTAAGAACACCTCAGACTGAAGTTAGAGCTAGTAATGAGTCAGATACTAGATAGACAGCTAAGAACACCTCAGACTGAAGTTAGAGCTAGTAATGAATCAGATACTAGATAGACAACTAAGAACACCTCAGACTAAAGTTAGTGCTAGTAATGAATCAGATACTAGAGAGACAGCTAAGAACACCTCAGACTGAAGTTAGAGCTAGTAATGAATCAGATACTAGAGAGACAACTAAGAACACCTCAGACTGAAGTTAAAGCTAGTAATGAATCAGATACTAGATAGACAGCTAAGAACAACTCAGACTGAAGTTAGAGCTAGTAATGAATCAGATACTAGAGAGACAGCTAAGAACACCTCAGACTGAAGTTAGTGCTAGTAATGAATCAGATACTAGATAGACAGCTAAGAACACCTCAGACTGAAGTTAGAGCTAGTAATGAATCAGATACCAGATAGACAGCTAAGAACACCTCAGACTGAAGTTAGTGCTAGTAATGAATCAGATACTAGATAGACAGCTAAGAACACCTCAGACTGAAGTTAGAGCTAGTAATGAATCAGATACTAGATAGACAGCTAAGAACACCTCAGACTGAAGTTAAGCTAGTATGAATCAGATACTAGTAGACAGCTAAGAACACCTCAGATAGTGCTAGAGAGACAGCTAAGAACACCTCAGACTGAAGTTAGAGCTAGTAATGAATCAGATACTAGATAGACAGCTAAGAACACCTCAGACTGAAGTTAGTGCTAGTAATGAATCAGATACTAGATAGACAGCTAAGAACACTCAGACTGAAGTTAGAGCTAGTAATGAATCAGATACTAGATAGACAGCTAAGAACACCTCAGACTGAAGTTAGAGCTAGTAATGAATCAGATACTAGATAGACAGCTAAGAACACCTCAGACTGAAGTTAGAGCTAGTAATGAATCTCAGACACTAAGAACACCTCAGACTGAAGTTAGAGCTAGTAATGAATCAGATACTAGAGAGACAGCTAAGAACACCTCAGACTGAAGTTAGAGCTAGTAATGAATCAGATACTAGAGAGACAGCTAAGAACACCTCAGACTGAAGTTAGAGCTAGTAATGAATCAGATACTAGACAGACAGCTAAGAACACCTCAGACTGAAGTTAGAGCTAGTAATGAATCAGATACTAGAGAGACAGCTAAGAACACCTCAGACTGAAGTTAGAGCTAGTAATGAATCAGATACTAGACAGACAGCTAAGAACACCTCAGACTGAAGTTAGAGCTAGTAATGAATCAGATACTAGACAGACAGCTAAGAACACCTCAGACTGAAGTTAGAGCTAGTAATGAATCAGATACTAGACAGACAGCTAAGAACACCTCAGACTGAAGTTAGAGCTAGTAATGAATCAGATACTAGATAGACAGCTAAGAACACCTCAGACTGAAGTTAGAGCTAGTAATGAATCAGATACTAGACAGACAGCTATGAACACCTCAGACTGAAGTTAGTGCTAGTAATGAATCAGATACTGACATGAGCCCCCCCCAAAAAAGATGATAAACCAATTTGTTTACAAGCTGCAGCAGATTCTCATCAGAGGTATGTGAATTGAGATAATCTGTCATAGGGGCAAAGGAGAAACTAATTGCAGATAGGTTCAGCACTGAGCGTCTGAGGAGAACAACAAATACACACAAAGGCAATAATTTTCATGAAATCGCATGCTCTAACTGTGGAAGACTTCCTAATGCAAGTAGGTTTGCTAAAGTGAGTTTTTAAATTCGTGCTGTTGTATTTCCAATAATTTCTCTGTAAATGTGATTTGTTTTTTAGTCTCCTGTTTTCATCTCGTGAATTTTTCCTACATGAATATTACTTAGACTGCCCAGCTGTATCGAAACAGACATCTTTTTTTTTCATCAGTTGTAATAATTTTAGTTAGGCAACAAAACATATTTTATAGTACCAGTGTGAATTACCCTAACCCTAATCACATAAGTTACGTCTTTACAACTTGTGACAAAACTTCATTTTTACCATGCTGTAGTACGTTTAGCATAACAACTGTGATCTTATACAGATTTTAAGTAAACTACAAGAAACATGTGCCTTTGTAAAAGATCAATTTGTTACATTAGAACTTTGTGCTCTGTAACTCTAAAAAGGCTATCTGGCAAGGAATATCATATATTTTTTTTTACCTCAAATAAACAAAAATTCATTCTAATTACTTTTTATTATTTGGGGGGAAAAATCTGACATTAACGCTGAGAATAAAGTAAATATTTATATTATGTTATGTTAGTTGTGTATCCTTTACAGGACAATACAGAACCAACCCAAGCATTTATTGGCTGTTGTGGTTTTTTAAGCAAATTTACATCCAGTAGTTTGCCATTGCTTTCTAGACAGTCTGCTTCTCAATACCACTGTTAAAACCAACACAAGGTGCAAGTAAATATTAATATAGATATAATTTCATCCATTTATATTCCATTACAGCCAAGAAATAATTTTTTTTCAACATCAGCACAAATTTGTAAAAGCACTATAGTCGCACTCACCATTTCCATCATCTGGAAGGAAAGAAAGATGCCTATAACACAAAACTGCCACTGTCAAGGTGTTCAGTGGCTTTCCCCCTTCAATGTCATGCTGTTGCAACATTTGTAGGCCTTATCCTTTTCATGATGACAGCTTTTGTGCTCTTGGCACTTTTCTTTTTTCCAGACATCAGTGTCATTTATGGGGCCATGTTATGGGGGGGATGGACTGTTGTGATCACTGGAAAGATTTGTGGAAACAGAGAGAGAGAGAGAGATGAGGACACATGAGAAGATCCTTCACAGCCTTTCATCATGGCACACAGGCATATCAACACTTGAACTGACAAATGGTGCTGGAGATCACAGGCTGTGGAGAGGCATAATTACCAATAAACTTGATGACGATGTTGATTCTTTTATGACATGCACGAAAATCTAAACAAAAACAAACAAACAAACAAAAACAAAAAGTATGGAAAAAGAATTCAAAGACAGACAATACAGTATTATACCTGAATGAGTCATCCATTCTAAACTTCTGAAACTTGCCCTGCCAGGCACACACGACTGGTTTGTCCCCTCCTCTGTCCTCAATGCCACACTCATCAAGCTCTCTACTCATCTCGTCAACATGACTGATAGCAAAGTAGATTCTGGCTCCTTCATCCTTCAACTTTTTACCAACTTTCATGACTCTTTAAACAAAGCACAACTACAGATTAGATTTTATTCATTAGATTTTAGTCATGAAACTTACAAAAGTAAAGACCGGCACAGCCAAGCATGAGAAGCACACTGGACTTACATGTAGTCTTGTCAACCAGCATAGGACTGGTCATATTAACCATGTGACGCTGATGGATATGTTGAGAGGGGAATCTGAGCACCTATGGATGTGTCCGGAGTGCTCTGAAGATAATCCAGCTCAAAACTTTTCATTGTTCTTACAAAATAAATTGTAAGGGGGAAAACAAATCCTCAGCTTAGCAGAACTTCTATGTCACAGTTGCTCACAGTAAATAATAAACATACACGGCCAGGTTCAATTGGCCAAAACCATTCACTTTCATAACCGCAATCACTCACTAGACTCACAGTTACCACTCTGTGTCATGTAAGTGCCACACACAGAATGACCTGCAATCTTTCCTGACTCACATATATTTCTCTCTAGTTCACACATTTCATTAATATCGCTCACTTTCTCACACAATTCCTGCATTGTCACTATAGGGCCCACTTTCTCACACAATTTCCTGTGTTATAACAGTTTAGTTCAGAACCACTATCCGCCAGTTGACACTGCTTCACTGATATCCAGTCATGTACTAGTTTTTAAGTGGGTTTCCTTTCTTCAGCCTATAATCATCTCAGATCTGCCTCCTAACCAATATTAAGGTCAACTGGTATTTCTTCTGACCTCTAAAGGTACTCTACAAAACTATTATTACAGATGGTCATGTTTCTGTTTTGTCTTGTCATCATGTTTATAAAGACTGCTCAAAGTTTTATATTCAGTATTTATATTGTGAAAAGTTTTATATCATCATCATCATATGCCATGCTGATAAGCATAAGCTGTCATTTTCTGCGATACCACACAATCCCTAGAATTACAGATCAGATCGGAGTTCATGCCTTATCCGATCCATCTGGCAAAGCCATCAAGGTATTTATCTTTCTACCCTTCCCTTGTCTATCAATGTTGACAGCATTTACTAAGTTCTTGAGTCCATTACTTCTCATAATCTGCATCTAATTTCTCTAGTCAGTTCATGGTTTCCATCTGTCTCAAGGACAAGCCTCTTTGTTTTCCTATCATCCCATATTCTTTTGCCTTCTTCTCCAAAAATGACAGCTCCACTCAAAGTAAATGTTTTCAAATGGCACATGACAGTGTTCATTATCTATACATCTATTCGATCTAATCCAGCCTTCATCCACCACACCTATGTATACACAACTACTTTGTTTAGAAACACTGACTGACTGTTCCATTGTATATATTCATGCACACAAACACACACAAAGATGGTAGTCCCTGAAGTCTGGACACTGGTAGAAAGATGTGGTTCTTCAGAATAATATTCAAACCTCCACTGATAGCCAAAATGAGTTATATAAATGTTCTGAAGGCGACAAGAGAATCAACATTCTTTTGTCACGTCATGAGAAAGAGAAAAGAAAACGAGTACATCATGATGGTGGGAAAGTTGGAGGGGCATATGGAGACCGAAACAGAAGATGCTGGACAGTCTGACATCATGACAAGGGGGATCATCTGTGTCAGAGTTGACTGTAAGTATACAAAACAAAAGGTTGTGGACAGACTTGACTACCAATGCAACAACACAGCATGAACTGTAATGAGAAAAATAAATGTTTTTAAGAGAGAGAGAGAGAGAGAGAAAGAGAGAGAGAGATAGGGGGGGGGAGAGAGAGAGAGAGGTTGAGAGAGGGGGGAGAGAGAGAGAGGGGGAGAGAGAGAGGGAGAGAGAGAGAGAGAGAGGGTAACGGGGAGAGAGAGATAGAGAGAGGGGGGAGAGAGAGATAGAGAGAGAGGGGGGGGAGAGAGAGAGAGATAGAGAGAGAGAGAGAGAGAGAGAGAGAGAGAGAGAGGGCGAGAGAGAGAGAGGGGGAGAGAGTTGAGAGAGAGAGAGAGAGAGAGAGAGAGAGATGCACACACACATATACACATCCTCCCACCCACCCACAACGGCAGAAAGCAGCAGCCAACATTTCTGGCGACCTTATGAAAATTATGCAGCTGGAGTATATGATCTCTAGAAACATTTATGGAAAAAGATATAGATAAAGAGAGTTTACTGAGAGCCTTTTCATCATTGCACAGAAGTGTCAGCACATGAACTGACATATACTGTTAGATATTACAAGATATGGACAATTACACTAGGCCATGTCACTTGACAAGCATTTAAGGACACACATTTTAAATGGTGAAAAACTTTATTATTTTGTATATATGTTCCATGTGTGGGTTCCTGGGCCCTTTTATATGGAAAACAATAACAGATCCACTGCCTATCCAATGTCGTAAAAGTCGACTAACTGGGAGCTTTCTTTGAAGTCAGAGTGCATGTGCCTGAGGGGCAAGGAACCAGCATTCTGCATACAAATGAGTCAAATGATCTGTAAAACGGAAGCACACCCAACACTCAGGTTCTGCAACAGGACTGCAGTCCTGAAGTGGACAAACAACCAAAACTTTTCGTCGAAGTTTACAGCTAGTGAACGCAAAGAAGAAGAATATTTTGTATAGACATTTTTTGTGTGGTAATATAACAAGACACTGACCTATTTCTCCAGTAGTTTGAGCCCTTTGCATTTCTGGCATAGTCCACATTATAGTAGGCAACAATTATTGGGTACTTGAAGTACTCAGCATTGGCTTGAGTTCGCTCACCGCATAGACCAAGTCTGAAAGTACACGTAGAGCATTGGTTTTTCATGTTTGTACTTTAGAAAAATGCACACACAAAAAAATACATCAGAAACATGAAACAAATGTACATTAGAAGGAAATAAAGGAGAAAACTGTTTATTTAAATAAAAAAGAAAATCACGTGTTTGAAAAATGGAGAACATTAGGTATTGAAGACATTGATAAAAATCTGAAACGATGCTTGCCAGTCTGCACGGAACATACATGTCTCTATTTTTCTCAAGTAAGAACTTCTTAAATAAGTTCAAGTAACACCCATCTGGAATTGTGAGAGCTGGTGTGAAGGTCTGAGAGCAAACAATGAAACAGAAGAAATTTCACACCTCAATATCTGTTATGTGACTACAACATTTCTTTCACTGCAAAGTGAATTCTTCTAATGACAACAGACACTGCAGTAGAACTGGTGTCCCCTAACATAAGGCTGACTGACACTGCAGATACAAGCTCTTACCCTTCAGTTTCCAGAAAATTCTTCAGCTTAACCGTGCCAGTTTCTGTGGTTCTAACCTCTGATTCTTCAAACGGATTCTGCATAATTTTGGGTCTGTATAAAATGACACCTCTGAAAAGAAAAATGACTTAATTAATTCAGTGTGATCAATTTGAAAGGCGGACAGTACTGACAACAACAACAACAAAAAAGATTCAATATTAGAAAGAAATGTTTTTAATTATCGGTTTTAACTGTCCTATCTGGTCACGGTCATAAGGATGCTTCAAGTTTATGTTTTGTCAGCCGGATCAATTAACCAGGTGCTGTCATCACAATGAAGGTTGATTGCAATGGACCTTTTACACGCTTTTGTCTTGCTTGTAGACTCTGAGACTGCTGTTTGTCCATCTCTTGATGTTGTCTTCCCAGCTGTATCATTGTCTGAATATTTCAACTGCCTCTTCTTTATATATTTCATTATTTCTTTTTTCATTTGCGGTCTTTCCAGAACCGCTGTATTTGATTGTTTTTGTTCCCATGACACATGGCTGTAACAAATGAAATTAGTGCATTGCAATGGTCCATTCTTCTGCTTGTCAGCTGGATAGGTCAATTTAATCCATCTTTTGTGCGAGCAAAGGTTTTTTAAAATGGGTTTTATCTCAGTTACTCAGTGGACTTCTATCCCTGTGTGTTCTGGGACCCCACATTGGAAAATTGGCAAAATAATAACAGAGCCACTGCCAACCCCCACCCTTCCTGCGCAAGCATGTCATAAAGGTTCACTCGTTAGGGATGCTTCTACTGGTGTGTGTATGCAAGGAACCAACAGCCTGCTTAGAAATAAGCCTGGTCTGTAAAACTGACATGCACATAAATGTTAAGTTATGAAACAAGACTAAAGTGCAGAAGTGGATGAAGAACCAGAACTTTTCACTGGAGTCTACAGAAGGCGAATGAAAAGAACAAAAGTGGATTTCTATAAAAGCTTGTGGCCGATAAGTGTATGCTGTCATGTTTCGCCATCCTAAATCATAACCAGAATCAATGATCAGGTCAGTGTTCTTGTTTCACCCCATCCATATGGACAAACCTTCCAGGTAATTATCTCTCTTCCTTCCTTCCCATAAACCTTTCCAGTCATTCCCATGTTCTCGAGTCCATTCATTCTCAGAACATGTGTGAACCAACACTGTCTGACCACGTCTCATTTTTCTCATCAGTTACAACTTACACCTGTCTCAAGAAGGACTGCCTCACTTACTTCACTATCACTCCATGATATTCTGTGCATTTCTTCTCCAAAACCCTATCTCCGCTGCAAGTAAATGTTGTTCAGCTTGCCTGTTGAGTGTACTTCCTTGTCTCACATGCATGTAAATAAACAGATTCTATGTAACACACCATCTTTTGCATGTGAAATCATGACTATTCTTGACACCTTGAAATAGGCAGTTATGGTACATCTCATGAAAATCACCCCATCTCGTCAGCTTGTGATTTCACAGAGAGTTTCCCCAGACACTCCTTCTGCATTTACCCCTGCAATACTCTTTAGTTTAACATAGGCGATTTCAGCAAGACACTAACCACATGAACCACCCAATGCCGATAAAAAGAAAAGAACCCATACAGTAACAACTGCCATTTAATGAAACTGCCATTACTGCCTGTATTAACTATTTTTACAGTGTACGTGGGGGGGGGGGGATTTGAGCCCGGGGATATAGAGCCGCATGGCTAGTGCTGTTGCCACGGAGTGTGCAGGCTGGGATTTTATTTTTGCCCCGACATTTAACAAAATCCCCAACCTTACCAAGGATTTGAACCTGGGTCTTCAGCATGACGGCCGTGTGTTTTTAGCTCTTCAACCAGCTGCTCCTTGAGCATATAGTGCTAGACTTTATTTTATAGACCAATCAGCACTTGGTGAGTTGTGTGGTTAATATCATGCCAGCCACCTTTACTTCCCATCACTCTACCAGCTACCCAGTTAAGGCTAAGTCAACCTGTGAACATAGGTCGTGTCTGGCTCTATTTGGATTTGAACCCCTGACCTTTAGATCTGCAGGCAAGCGTTTACTGTCTTACAGAATGCCTAATATGTCTCAAAACATGAGAATGGGTTCCTTTAATTACTTGTTTTATATTTGTATATGTGTGTGCATGCATGTGCATGTGTGCGGACACAGGAACATACCAATTTGTCTATGCATTGGTATCTGTGAGTGTGCACTAGGCACTATTAGTATGTTAGTTCGTGCAGAACAGTATAGGAAGTCAGGGTTTTGAAGTAGATAGTGCAGTTAGCACCCAGAAAAGTAATATTACAAGGGTTCAACTTGTGGCGTGAATGACACTGACTGTATAAATTAAATGTCTTGTTCCCTGTGTGGGTTCCCGGATACCACTGTTGGGAAAACAAACACAGACCCACTGCCTCCCCAACAAGCATGTCCTAGGAGCTGACCAGCCGGGTGCATCCTTTAAAGTCGGAGTACATCTGTCTAAGAGGCAATAAACCAAGAGTCTGCACACAAACAAGACAGATGTGTCAAACAGATGGGCATTTAACACTCAGGTTCTGAAACAAGACTAAAGTCTGGAGGTGGGCGAACACCGAGAGATTTTTGCAGCAGTTTACATTCGGTGAATGCAAAGAAGAAGGAAAAGCAAAATGTATTCCGTCTGGTCAGAAAAATGGTGTCTATCACGGCATTGCTAATTTATTTACACTGATGGCATGGACATTTGGCAACTGTTTTGAGACCAGTACAGAGCAGTTTAGCAAACCCGATAAGCCAGAAGGAAATACTTACTGTTTTGTCATGTTCACTTCCTCCTTAATATCCTCACTTGTGGTATGGGCAAATCGAATAAAGGAGTAATGGTCTGCAACCTTGAGGAAAGCTTTGGCTTCATTGTTGTTCTCCGACTCAAAGAAACCTAAAACAAAAGTTCAAGTTGTGCATCCTTACGCAGGTTCACAGGCATCATGATAATGCTGGATGCAGCAGGTGTGGGTTTTTTAGCAGAATATGGAGAGAAGAAAACTGAAATCCTCAGAGCTGCAGGTATTATTGGATCATCATCATCAACATCATAGTCCCTGTGGGTATTTTAGCAGAATATGGAAAGAAAACTGAAATCCTCAGAACTGCAGGTATTATTGGATCATCATCATCAACATCATAGTCCCATACCACCATGTGTTACTCAGTCACCAGTTCCCCCCTACCCCAAACCTGTCTGCCAGATACAATGAACTTGATGTCTGCATGTTTTGAGGTCTGTCTATTCAGCTAAATTCTGTAACCAGGTCTTTTGGGGGAGGGGGGGGGGGGGTCTGCCTCTTCTCTTCTTCCCCTCTACAGAGCCCTAAGTCTTGTTTTGGGGAGGGGGGATAGAATTTGTTATGCATTTGTATCACTGCTGGATGACTCATCAAACTCATTAAGGAAAATAAATGTCATTTAATGGAGTCAGTGTGGTAAAATACCAGGCAAACATGAAGATACAGCTGGGTAACCAAAATAGGGTATCTTCATCAATGTATCAGACAACACACAGAACAAGAGAGCCATAATTATGGATATCTTTCCTAGTCAGGCACTGTTACCAGAAAAATATACCCTTAGGAAAATTTACGATTAGTAAACCTTGCTGGTTCTAGGCAGACAGAGCAACATTATACACACAACACTGAATCTTCAACATCATGTCCACATACAACATTGAATCTTCATAACAGAGCAACATCATGTGATCATAGCAACATACTTCATATCATGTGATCAGACAACACACATACAACAATCTTCATATCATGTGAACAGAGCAGCATTATATAATACACACAACATTGAATCTTCATATCATGTGAATAGAGCAACATTATACACATACAACACATGAATCTTCATATCATGTGAATCTGAATCTTCATATCATGTGAACAGAGCAACATTCCACATACAACATTGAATCTTCATATCATGTGAACAGAGCAACATTATACATACAACATTGAATCTTCATTCATTTCATGTGAACAGAGCAAATTAGATACATACACATTGAATCTTCATATCATGTGAACAGAGCAACATTATATAATACATACAACATTGAATCTTCATATCATGTGAACAGCGCAACATTATATAATACATACAACATTGAATCTTCATTTCACGTGAACAGAGCAACATTATATAATACATACAACATTGAATCTTCATATCATGTGATCAGAGCAACACTCCACATACAACATTGAATCTTCATATCATGTGATCAGAGCAACACTCCACATACAACACTGAATCTTCATATCATGTGATCAGAGCAACACTCCACATACAACATTGAATCTTCATATCATGTGAACAGAGCAACATTATACATACAACATTGAATCTTCAGCTCATGTGAACAGAGCAACATTATACATACAACATTGAATCTTCAGCTCATGTGAACAGAGCAACATTATACATACAACATTGAATCTTCAGCTCATGTGAACAGAGCAACATTATACATACAACATTGAATCTTCAGCTCATGTGAACAGAGCAACATTATACACACAACACTTAATTTTCATATCATGTGAACAGAGCAACATTATACACACAACACTCAATCTTCATATCATGTGAACAGAGCAACATTATACACACAACACTCAATCTTCATATCATGTGAACAGAGCAACATTATACACACAACACTCAATCTTCATATCATGTGAACAGAGCAACATTATACGTACAACACTCAGTCTTCATATCATGTGAACAGAGCAACATTATACACACAACACTCAATCTTCATATCATATGAACAGAGCAACATTATACATACAACACTCAATCTTCATATCATGTGAACAGAGCAACATTATACACACAACACTGAATCTTCATATCATGTGAACAGAGCAACATTATACATACAACACTTAATCTTTATATCATGTGAACAGATCAACATTATACGTACAACACTGAATCTTCATATCATGTGAACAGAGCAACATTATACGTACAACACTGAATCTTCATATCATGCGAACAGAGCAACACAGTACATACATACAACGCTGAATCTTGATATCAAATGAACAGATCAAAACTATAGGTACAGTATAGAATCTTCACACCATATCAACAGAGCAGGTGTGGTCAACTCTGACTTACCAATGACACCAATAGAGTCCTTGTTGATGAATCTTTGAGCATCTTCAACAGTCTCCAGCTTTTTGGAGACAGGGCCCGCCTCTCTGTTCATTTTCTTCACAATTGCGTCTATATTTTCACAGCAAAGTGAAGCGTAATAAAGGATTCAACATGTTTTCATGACATAATATCAATATTTAGAACATCTCTAAGGCCAAATGGCAAACATGCCATCAGAACTGCAGTTGGATAAAATGCTTAGCTGTCAGCTCAACAGTGAAGTAAAAGGTAGAGAACTAACTTCCATGGCTTGAGACATATGGTGCTACCACATATTTGCACAAACCATTGAGCACATTATGGGCGGTGTGCCCATTATAGGTGATGTGCAAATTATGAGTGATAAGGTCAATACAATATCAGCCCATTGTTACCATGAACAACAATGAGAGCTAATTATCATCATTAGAAAGAGAGCTAAGTTAGAAGACTTATCACCAGGAAAGAGTCAAAGAGCTGTCCCGGAAATAAACAGAGAGCTGGATGTCACCAAAGAAAAGTCAGAGAGCTAATCTAAAAGTCAGAGAGCTAATGTTGCCACAGAGATCTGACTGTAACCATCAAACAGACAGCAAACAGTCCAAGTTCAATCTAAAAATGTGTGTGCAATTGTTTATTTTAATGGCTGTGTGTGAATCTGGTTTGATGACCCTCATAAAACAGAAGCTAGGGATTTCTATATAAAATGATGAAAGAACCAGTCACACACGCACACATACACATACAAAAGCCTCAACATGTTATCATTGAGTATATGTGGAGTTACATTACTTCAAACATGTTATATATATGAAAACACAGTAGATGGCCATGCTATAACTTTCTATTTGTCACACAAGATCATGTTTACCCAGTGACATCTCCACACTGAAGGTCGACTGTAATAAGTCTCCAACACACCCTGTCCTTTGTCTACCTGGTGTTCTCAGACTGGCCTCCATCTTATAAGGCTGTCTACCCACATGTAACATTGTCTTCCTCTTGTACAAGCTACACTGACAAAAATACAACTTTTACTTATCAGACATCTGGTAAATTATTACTGACATTTACTATACTTTAGGCTTTTTAACAAATTACCTGTTTCTCTCTCAGCATCATAATCCTTTGAATATTCTCCATTTTTGAAAATTTTTAAAGTGGGGTAACCACTGACCCCATACCTGGAGCATGTGTCGGTCTCAACAGTGCAATCCACCTAGAAATATTCACAATTGGGGATTACAGAAGATATTGCACAGCTATTATCAAACACATCATCACAACTTTCTGTGAGGTCATTTCTTTAAAAACACTCATTGTCCATATTAACAAGCCAAAATTCTAAGGCATATGATGTCAACGATGATGCTGCTAGCTGCTGATGATGATGATGACAACGACGATGACTATGATGATGATGATTATGACTGTGAATCTTAAAGAACAATGTGATTAATGCAGACACAAACAGATTGCACAATTTATCAAAAGACAAATTTCACTTATCTTATCAGATGCATCACTACTGAGTTATGTCAACATATGAGGAAGCATACAAACTTAATTTAAACGCCTATGACTAACCTTGGCAAGAGGTACGGAAGGATCCGCCCTTTTTAGAATTGATGCAGCTTTTTCATATTCTGGAGCCAGTTGTTTACAATGTCCACACCTACGATGAATGGCATTTGGTCACAAAAAATAATCAACAACAAAAAAGTGTGCTGTGTGAGAATAAAAATAGAAAGATAAATTAACAGTAAACAATTCTTAAGTGTTGAAAGTGTTGTGTTTTGTACTTATATATGGTAACTGTATTATGAGACAAGGTGACTAGCTTCTTTGTTCGCCAAATTGTTTTACGTAATTGTTTACATAGTATGTTAAAACTATTCCTAAATGAATCACTCTTTCATTGTTAATTAATGTTATCATTTGTAAATGAGGTTAAATACTAAGCATACATTATGTGCCTGAATTCAGTTGAATGGTACTGAGTACGAAGAATAATGTAAGCATGATTGAATAATGAATATAACTCGAGGCATGCGTGCAGCGTGCCAGATGAGAAAAGCGTTAATCATACGTGAAATGTTCCAGAACCTGAGAGGGAAATTTGCTATTTAAACTTGGAAGGAATGAGAACATTTAGTCTTACTTTTGATTTTGAGAAAGCCAGTCTTATGGTGCCAAAAGAATGAGAAGTGAGTGAATCTTCAAAGTAAGTGAATGTTAGATCCAGCAGCCGACCTGGGCAGAGAAACCTGACTATTTAGTTTTGTTCATATGGCTTAGTTGACGTCTGCTGTGAGACGACTGTCTCTGCTCAAGTGTATATTTGGTAGCTCTAGAAGTATCTGCAGCTGGAGGTGCTGTGCTTAGTCATTCTGTAAAGGTAAGGCCAATATTGATGATGTTTTTGTTGGAGCCGACCTGGTTACCCCTAGACCTTTATACCTCTGTGCACTGACAGAGGCGAACAGTTATTGGAACCAATAAACATTTTGTAGCAACTGTGTGGCATTCCCAAAATTTCTTGTTTGTGTTCAAGATTATACTGAAGTATCTGTCAGTGTGCCCGAGCAGGCTGCATGCGACTAGATCCTGAGGAAAGTCATTTCAACTGTGAAATCATTTTAACCATTTCTCTCTGACAAGGCTAAATCTAGTCACTCCCAGGTATAATACAGCTAAATAAATCTTATATATGGCCACTTCTGCAGTGATTGTTCTCGAAAAGCATAGTTAAATGCCACTCATTCTATGTGTGCCTACGTATAGTGTTTACGAGGCCGGAGGTGAATATATTAACTAAATATAGCAGAAGGGTAAAACTGGCAATAGTCATGGAAGACAAACTATAACCATGCTTCAAGATGATGACCACCATGCAGTGCTATTTTGGCAGTGAAGCCGGTTTTAGTGAGTCTCCAACTTCTTCTGATAGTCCATGTTTTGTGCTGTCTATAATTACATCTGACCACAGCCTTCTGTCGTAGATACTGTCAATGATTTCTGACTAATATGTTCTCCTGTCTGCAAACCCCTCTGCATTGTCATGACGTATTCATTTACAAGGATGGTAATAATATTTACACCGACAATGGAGGAAATATCGCAAACAATTAAACTGACATATACCATCTCCGTACGATCTACAAAGACACAGGTAATAAAACAGTACTTTCCCTGTGAGTTCCAAAGCCCCATTTGAGAGTTTGTGGACAGAAAACTCTCCTCAACAAGCATGTCTTAAATGGTCATTAATTAACCCTACCAGACCTGAGGCCCTGAACCTAACTGCCCCCTATACCTGAGGCCCTAAACCTAACTGCCCCCTATACTTGAGCTCCTGTGCATTACCATGAAAAAACCAACATAATATATATAAAAATATTAGTTACATGCAAACAAGTGGCTAGATTAAGATGAAACTTGGATAGAAAATAGGTTCCTTTTATATAGCGACAATAATCCACCTTTGTGTGGAATCAACCTAGTTTACCAAAGTGAACACCAGATGTTGCTGTTTGAGTGACACGACCCCTTCTCCTACTATCGATCTATTTCTAGATTTCTAATTTTCAAGATTTTCCTCATCATTCGAGCTCTCACTGATTGTGTCACTTCAACTGGGAAAATATTCTTCATGAAATTATGACTCCACAGTCTGAATCAACCAATGTATTGATCACCTGTTGGCCTGTGAAAAGCCTAGACCTACTTCACTTTCCTTTTGAAGTGCTTGATTCATCAGCCACTCATTTCATTGTGAATTTTGTGAATTTTTTCACATTAAACCACACGGAGTAATCCAAACACACGTGGGCAGTCATTTGCAGTGACTAACCACGTGGTTTGATCACGACTGGTTTGTTATTTTTAGTTTGAATGCAAATACTCGAAAAATCAGGACAACGGTATAGTGGCAAGGTAAAAAATTACTGCAGTAGAGGGACATCAGTACGACAGAGTTAATGAACGGGCTAAATCAGATGTGTATTCATAAACAGTTTCTATTATATGTCTTAGCTCACCCTTTCATAGAACACTGGCTGCTTCTAATTTTTTTCCCCCCAATTTTGCCAGTACTGACTTTTCTTTTCATGTTTGTTTTATTTTACAAGCAGGATGTAGCCAAGCGGGCAAATAGGCTTTTGTTCAGCATTTTTTCAGTGTCTCATAGAAATCTGCTCATCTAACCAAGAACCTTTCTACATTGTTGTTGCAAGCTTTTCAATTTGCTGTGTTGATATATGCACTCAAGCACAATGTCTTGCCCACCACATCCAAGAATGTGCTGCCATACTTTAATGTATATCTAGTTTTATATACTTCATAAATACATGGTGTGTAAATGTTAACTACATCAGTTAAAATCCAAAATTGTTAACACACTGCTCCATTAAAATATTTACAAACAAGTTAAAACTATAAAGTAAAAGCAGAATACACAGTAGCTAAGATCTACGCTTTTTGCATTTGCCCCAAGGTTTGAAAGTTGTAGGTTCCCTGTGAATCGGTGCTGGAGCTGCGGAGGTTGTGCTTTGGGCATTATTCTTGACAGGTGGCTAGCCACTGAGCAAAGAAAGATCGAGCTATATGGTGTAAAAATCAAGTGGAATGAAGTAAATTTTTTTTTTTTTTAGTTAAACCACTTTTATTTATCGACTCATAAAGTGATTAACAGATTACTTAAAACTAGTCATCCCCAGGTGGGTTCCGGGACCCCTTTGTGGGGGGAAACAATAACAGACCCACAGCCTCTCCAGCAAGCATGTCGTAACTACTAGTACTACTAAATACTAGTACTAGCATCCCTAGGCCATGAATGTTGTTCCTCCCACTAACATATGCAAACTTAAATAAATGCAGACTAAATCCCTGGTCGTCATAAACTAATTTAAATTTTAAAAAGTTAAGTGAAAAGTGACCCCAAAAAAAGTAAGCATAAATTTTATTTAGAAGTTGTAATTTATACTAATTTTGATTTTTATATATTTAGATAAAGTAGCAAAGTTAACGGCTCTCCTTGCAGCTTCGGACGGCTTAGGTCGGCGTAGTGGGCGTTCTCTTCCTTGGCCGCATTGAAAACAACGAGCGGAAAAGTCACGAATCAAATGACATACTTACCTATCATCATATGGGTGTAGGGTTGCGTACGGTTGCGTGTAGTGTTGCGTAGTCATCATACGGTTGCGTAGTCATCATACGGTTGCGTCTAGGGTTACCTATCATCATACGGTTGCGTGTAGGGCTGCGTAGGGTGTCTATCATCATACGGTTGCGTAGGGGTTAGGGATAGGGTTAGGGTTAGGGGTAGGATTAGGGGCTAGGGTTAGGGGTAGGGCTAGATGTGAAAATGGTGACGTAGAACTTCCAAATACTGGGCGACAATCTGATGCTTGTGGGAGTGGCGCCACTGGAAGTGTGCCAAATATGACGGCAATAGCGCGCGGCTGGTGCCTAATCGGTGGCATTTGTCCGTGTCAGTAGCATCCACCGTCCGTCCACTGTTTGCGTATGTATGTGACTGTGCGCGATTATAGGGAACTACGGCGTCAAAATTGTCACATCTAACGCTAAACCTAACCCTACCCCTAACGCTACCCCTAATCTTAACCCTAACCCTAATCCTACTGCTAACCCTAACCCTACCCCTAACCGTGCAAATTTATCGGTCATTAAAGCATACAGATCGGCAAAACACCCACACACAAAAAAACCAGATTTCCCCGCATCTTTAAAAGAAAAACCCAGATCTGGGGGACACAACCAAGCATTGGCAGCCCTGATGTCGACCTCACTGTCTTGTTTGATTCGTGGCTTTTCTGCGCCTTGTTTGCAATGAGGCCAAGGGAGAGAACTCCCACTAAGCCGTCCAGCTACCGTCCAAAGCTGCAAGGAGAGCCAAGTTAACTTATTTATTAACTTACCAAGGTGCGTAGAATTTCACTAAAATAACAGGATATCTGCTTATCTCCAATTGAAAATTAGAGTCCGTGAAGACGAGTACGTCGTCTGCTGCAGCAGCAGGCGAACAAACGGCAGCGACAAGAAGAAGAAGACTAGAGAAGCGGCCACTGAGTGTCTCCTGTAGTAGCTCCATGTTGTTAAATCTCGCCGGTTTTCTTGCGGTTATTATCGTTTCCAGACGGGAACCCAGGTCTGACCAATCAGCTCCTGTCTTTGGTGTTGGCTACATTTCATTGGTCGCCGCGGAAGATGGCGGCAACTATAGAAAAACTTCACCTGATACAAACCATTCCAACACAACACATTTATGCATAAAAAGGTTATCAGTGAGCATTATTATCAGGGGCGCTGGAATCCGGGCGCTCAAGCATCTTCAGGCAATAACACAATTGTTAAGGAGGGGGGGGGGAAGGGGCGCTGAGCCTCTCAATAATTGTTGAGTTGGCCCATACGCCCCTTGTTGGTTCCTTTCCGTCTTTCCAGACGATAGTTTGTATGCTTGGGCTGACATCGGTAAAGTTTAGATGGTGTGAACACAGGCTCAAGGGTAAACCCAGAAAATGCCATTGGGTATTTTTCACGAAAGTCACCCCATATAGCTCGCGCACGAGATTTCGTGCTGGCTCACATTCTTACGTTTGTGTGCTGAGTGATTCGATGACCATGATCCGCAGGCCGAGGCGGACTTTGTAGGCAGACGGGATCGAGTCATTGCGAAACCCCACTGTGCGTGGAGTTACCTTCATCTTTGTACCAGGTATGCGGGTGTTGTTGGCAATGAAAGAGTCGACAGATTAGCCGGCTCAGCCTTAGTTACAGAGTGCTGGTCATAGATAATGCCGACATTGTTAATGCGAGAGATATGGCGTTGAAAGGCTTTTGGGAGCAGCAGTTCCACATTTTTGCAAAGAGTGCAAGAATTGGGAATAAAGATCGGCACAGCCAGGCAAGAAAAGCACACCGGTCGCAAGAGAAGTCTTGTCAACCTGCATAGGACTGGAACTATCAACCGCAGGACGCTGATGTATTTGTTGAAGGGGAAATATGAGCACCCATGTACGTGTCTGAGTGCCATGAAGATAAACCAAATTATAACTCAACTCATAACTGAATTCATGTCGTGCGAGTTCCCACGGACTGTCCTTTGTTCTCCATCTTCCTAATGCCGCGACCCTTTGATACAGTTCCTCGTGTTGTGGTGACCCCCAACTATAAAATTATTTTTGTTGCTACAGTGAATACGTGTTTTCCTATGGTCTTAGGCGACCCCTGCAAGTTATCGTTATACTCCAAAAGGGGTCGTGACTTACAGATTGAAAACGGTGTTCTAGGTTGTTATGAGGCTTATTCCTTCGATGTCTATATACAGTGCGCCGAAAAGTGACTGGCGTTCGTTCGACGAGGTCGACACAGTCTCCCAGATGCAGCTGTGCAGCTTTCTTTCAGCTACTGTCTCTTGCCTGAACGAGAATTATTTCTGGAATGTGTTGTTGTATTGAGAAGGTCAGGCGCCGCAGGTGCCTGTTTCTTCTTTTTCTCTTCCACCTTGTACCTCATCGAAGTGTCGGGACGAGATGTCACATTCGTCGATGAGCTCTGTCAAGAGCACTATTAAGACTGATGTTCATTTCTGTTCTTAATGTCATCATTCCATATTTTTAGAGGTCCTCCATTCGCTCTATACACGTTGTAACGTTTTCGTGTGGCTCGCTGTGGCAGATAGTACCAGGGCATTCTTGTTAGGCTTCCAAACCACTTCATTTGTTGTTCTTTGATGACCTGTAAGACTGGCTTTTTTCCTAGCATTCGTCTGCATTCGTATTCAGTCTTTCCTTGAAACTCCCGCAGCTTTTCTAAGGCATTTTATCTCTGTTGTCACTTTTCTACGTTCATTAGAGGATGTACGTGTCCACGTTTGGCACTGATAGCATAGTGTTGTCCTAAAAATAGTTATGATAAGATTCACTTTTGTACTCCGGGGTATCTGTTTGTGTGTCAACAAGGGAAAATTTGCTCCCTTTCTTGATTGGCTTTGGCCGTCTCGAGCAAATTTCTCTGTCCAGTGTGTATAAGGAAAAAATACTGCAGTGGTAAGCGCCTAAGTTGCAACGGTTCCTGAGCCCTGAATCATTGATTCCTTTGTGTTTTTACGTGTGTGTATATATATATATATATATATATATATATATATATATATATATATATATATATATATATATGGTATTAAAGTATGGTCCCGTCTGACACTGCAGCCAACAGTGTTGGGGGCAGCTAGCTCTCTAAAGAGGGTGGAAAGTAAAATTTAGTAGCCTGTTGCTGCCCCGTGATCGCACAAGCTACCCCGCCTCCCCGTGGTGCAGAAGATGATTCACAAAAATGAACACAGACCATACAACTGCAAATATGCATAAAAAGTAGATGAACAACCAAAAGTTTCTGCCAGAGTTTACAGCCAGTGATCGCAAAGCAGAAGATGATTCACAAAAATGATCACAAATGGTTGAGGATTATTATTATTAGTGTACTTCTACAAAAATAATTATACCGTTAGTCAACAATTAGTAAAGAGGCAAAGACTGACTTGCTGTGAGAGGTTAGTTAGTAAATAAAATATTGTTTTTATCCACTTACCCAGAGCTCTGAAATATCTTGACACACTTTATCCACAGTGTAGTTGCACCATTTATACACAGTCAATATGAAAGCTATAGTTTTCTTCTAACACAAGATAGTTTGCACCTGACAACTGACGATATTCTCCAGATATGGCTTCTAGTGTACCTGTTTATATTACCCCAAAAGTAAGATTTCCACATTCAAAGTAAAAAAAAAAAAAAAAAAAAAAATAAACAGCCAGTTTAAAAAAAAATAAAAAAATAAACAGCCAGTTAAAAAAAAAAAAAAATCAAACAGCCAGTTCAAAAAAATCAAAACTACTGACTAGACACAGTGACACACACACACATGACAACACGACTGTCTCCCGTGAATTAAAATTCAAATTTCTGTAATCTAACAGCAAAGTTTGAAAATCTTGTATATCCACTTCACAATATCCGCTTGTAGATTTGTAATACGAATACGTTCAGAACACACAATCTTGAAAGCATATTAAAATGTTACACAATGCAACACATGAAAATGGCTTGCAGTAACAAATTTTCGAGAGGACTGCCAAAATGTCAAGTGATTTAGTCAGAAGGACCTATATACAGAAGGACCTGGTCTATTCCTGTTTCACAGAGTGTGGCCTCGGGACCGACACAGGAAATCTTATGTCTAAAAAACAATATTGATCTATTATTACCAAACTAATGTCCTATTTAGTTTTGATTTCTTTGATCGAATTCATAATTTTACACAGAAATTATAGATAAGTTTTTGTTCGTGTGTAAACATTTGAATCCACGGCCATTTTGCCGGACATGTTAAAATTTCTTGTTTAAAAGGACATTCGCAATCGCAACTTTAAATTACCAGAATCAGTCTTGGATACTGACAGAGAACACGAAAAGAAATATTGACTTTGAAATTAGTATTTTAAGAGAGAGAGAGAGAGAGAGAGAGAGAGAGAGAGAGAGAGAGAGAGAGAGAGAGAGAGAGAGTTGAACCAGAAAAAAAAAATAATATGAGAAATGAACAGACTGCAAGAAGTTAAGAAAAATACCGATAGTTATATGAATCAAAATGATTGAAACTGGTCGACCACCTAATGAAGTTCAACGAGAGTGAGAGCGACCAACCTTAAAATGGAAACCCGCAGAGACAGAGTGAGAGCTAAAAGAAGATGACCTGAAGGCGTCAAAAGACTATCGGAGATTTAACGAACTCTCCCCGAGATAGTTAGTTAGTTAGTTAGTTAGTTGGGTTATCATCATTGCACTCCGGACATGTCCATAGGTGCTCAGATCCTCCCCTCAGTATGAATCCCAACGTCCGATGGCTAATAGTACCAGTTCTATGTTGATTAACAAATCTTCTGACGTGTCCGGTGTGCGTCTCGTTTTTTGCTGTGCCGATCTTAATTCCCAAGTCTGCCATTCTGGCGAGTGATGTGGATTCACTGCCACCAAAGTCCTCTATCCTTCCCATTTCTCTGAGGGCATTGATAATATCAGCATGATCCATAGGCCGACCGTCGGTAGTGATAGCGGATCCAGCCAGCCTGTCAGCTCTTTCATTTCCATCGACGCCTGCGTGTCCCGGAACAAAAATAAAGGTGACTCCTCGCACAGTGGACTTCTGAATTGATTCAAGCCATTGTCTTCGCGCTGAACCTGCCTGAACCCTCCGGATCATACTCATTGAATCACTGAGTATACATATGCGGGTGTATTTTTGTGTTTCAAGCCAGGCAAACGCTTGCGTCACTGCCATCACCTCCATCGTCATGCTGCTGGTTGTCATGGAGAAGGCGCCGTTGGCTTCTTTGACTGTTCTGCCCGCTGAGCGTGCTGTAAATGCCCATGCGCTTCTTCTTTGGCGTATAACGGATCCGTCTGTATAGATTAGTGCATCTGCTTCGTCTGAATTTTCACCGAATTTCACTGAATTTCTCCCCGAGAGTTTACAACAAGTAAACGATAAGAAGAATAAAAAGACAAAAGGAAGATGAAGGATCGATCTATAACCATGGCATAGCCGTTAGATGTCAGTGCATTGACCCCACCCCCACCCGCCACTTTTATTGTTAGTAGATTCCGTGCTTCCTCTTCTTCTTCTCTTCCTCATGTACAAGGGGAGTGTAAAATACGAAACCAAACAGAAACTTCACGACATTTTGCCCGAGCTTGAAGTAATCTTCACGAGCAGAAGAGTACCGTTGTTGTTAGTCGTTTGGTTTGTTTACTCGCATGAACAGGGTAGGCTTGGCTTCATTTAAATTGTGTTTGTGCGGTTTGTGGGTACAGCTGAAATAAGATGCGCTTATATTTTTAAAATTAACATACATCTTACATGAATTAGCACACCATGCTAGGTTGAGGCTATAGGTTTGTTTCCAGTATACTTTATATTTTGTTTATGTTCTAGTTCAACTACTGCTAACTCAACTAACTGCTACAGTACAAGTAGTACTAAGTAGAGTAGAATCTACTTCTAAGAAAAATTTGGAAACTTCTTCTCCTAATAAGAGAAATCTTATGATTTTATGTCAACATTACTTCGCTGTTACGACTACTCACACTTGAACTTAGATAAGGAAGAATTGACAACGTCAGCTCATAACTCATGTTTAAGGCTTTTATTCGCCAGGCGCCACGGTAGCTACAGTGTGTAGTGTACACTAACTGGAGATAATTGATTATTAATTCAATGAACAAAATAAAATAGTACAATAATAATAGAGTAAAAGTAATAAATAGTAATATTGAAGCTAGAGCGCAGGAAAAATACACAGAAGCTAGGAGGCGAATAAGGGCAGATAAAATGAAATATTTAGATTACCTATGACAAGAAGCTGGGACAGCAACAACAAAAAGAAACCTCAGAGATCTTAATTTACAGTAACTCAAGAATATTTAGTAGGTTACTATAGTCAGCCAACTGGATCACTCAAAAATTGTCAAGGGAAGACACCCACTAACGCTAAAAATTAAATGGACAGATGGAATGAATATTTGGAAATACTTCTAAACCTACTAGGTCCAGAGGTTCCCCCAGGTATCCAGCCTTTAATAATGAAACTGGATATCATATCAAATGTGAGATACCATCTAAAGAGGAAGTTAGAAAGGCTATCCGTCATCTTAAAGAAGAAAAGGTCCAGACTGTATCCCAGCAGAAGTCATTAAGGCCAATATAAACACACCAGAGGAATTGCTACATAGATTATTTAGTAAAGTTCTAGAGACTGAAAAACAATACCAGCAGACTGAAGAGAAGGATGTCTTGTGGAACTGCCCAAAAAAGCAATTTACAGGAGTGTAAAAACTAGAGGAATTAGGTTGTTGTCGCTTCCTGGAAAAATATTAAAGTAGGATTTTTTTTTTAAGACTAAAAGATGTTATTAATAAAAAGCTGAGATGAACTGGCAGGTTTTTGGCCTAACAGATCCTTTACTGACCAGATAGTTACTTTCCGTATAATAGAACAAAGTATTGAATTGAATTCCCCACTCTACATTTGATTCAAAGACTATGTAAAAGCTTTTAACAGCATTGATAGGAAATCTCTCTGTAATCATTTCTTCCTTCACTCTCATTCCCTTCCTGATATTCACTTTCCACACAACACGGTCCATGGCATTTCGTTCCCATGAGTCTGCCTCAATACCTGTATCATTTATGTCCCACTTGCACACATCTTTATAGCATAGTAGAGGTCAGCCTCGACAACTTCTTAGGGATTCTGCCATTCTCCAGGTGTGGCCCAGCCACCTGAGAAACATTGGAAAGGCAACTTATAAAGACATGAAATGTTGAGTTCGACATGAGGGAAAGCTAACAGATACATTTAAACAAAAAAAATATAAATGTGTGACAGGTATGTCTTTTGTCAAAAGAATTTACAACTATTACAAAACTAAAAAATTGTAATTCTAAAATCAAATCAGTACTATTGTATGGCGCAGAAACATTATTTTACCACTCATGCAACAGCTACCTGGTCTGCATCTACTAACAGTCCAGTACAAGAAATATATATTTGTAGAATCAGAAATCAGTTGGAGGGATGCAGTGATTGCCTCTGTATTTATTCATATTTACAAAGTTGTTTTTCCTAATGTTCCCTCATTGTCTTTGAATTTTCCTAAACAGATCCCTCACCCACGACCCAGAATCACCAGTGATTGTTTTCTTCCTGCCAGGTTTTCATGCAGAGATTGATCAATGAAATATTTACAAAGGTGAAGATCGAATTTAGCGCTGACACCCTTGTTGATGGCAGAGTGGCAGGGAACAGATTATTCCTCACAGATTGAAGCTGCCATCATCAACAACCAGCCAGATGCACTATAGAGGTTCTGTCACAGGCACTGTTTATGGGACACACTTTAGAGGTTCTTGTCACAGGCACTGTTTATGGGACACACTTTAGAGGTTCTGTCACAGGCAACTGTTTATGGGGACACACTAGAGGTTCTGTTCACAGGCACTGTTTATGGGGAACACTTTAGAGGTTCTGTCACAGGCACTGTTTATGGGACTTTACAGGTTGTGTTCTGTCACAGGCACTGTTTATGGGACACACTAGGAGGTTCTGTCACAGGCACTGTTTATGGGAACACACACTAGAGGTCAATTTTTCTGTGTCACAGGCACTGTTTGGGACACACTTTAGAGGTTGTGTCACAGGCTGTTTATGGGGCACACTTTCGAGGTTTGTGGTCAGGTATAATTTGTTGGGCACACTTTAGATACCCTTTTATATCATAGGACTGTTTATGTTACAATTATTTCTAGTATGAACACGCTGTTTGTGTTTTCTGGGCACAAACTTTAGATTTCTACTGGATAGGGACTCTGCTTTGTATGACAGGCACTATTTAGGACAAACAGCTGTAGAGGTTCTGACTAGCACGTACGTATTGATGCAGACAGAACTAGAGAAGTTGAAATGGGGGGATAGTTAAGACACAATTAGACATTATAAGTTACAACACCAGGAATCAAAAACAAATCCAGATAGTTACAGGGCAATAGCTTGGAACAAGAAGAAAACAAATGACAGGACTACAGAAGACCATGGGGGTCTGTACTGAGGATAAAAAAGTTGACCTCAAGACAGTCTGTGAATAAATAAACAATTATAAATACACAGGGAGCCATTGTGGCATAGTGGCTAGATGCTCACCAGCAGGCCAAAAGATCGTTTGTTCAAATTTGCACTGAGCTGAATTTGTGTTTTTCAAAAATTACATTGGTGTCCAGGTTTACTCAACCTAAAATGGGCACCAGGTAAAGTCCTTAGAAGTGAAGGTTTGAGGTTTTGAATAACGAATCAACATCATAGCACAGTGCACTGGCTCTGTAGCACCAGCGAGGACCCTGAAATTCTTTCAATAGACTTTTAATTCCAAATGGTTAGGCTACTCTTTTTTTATTTCCAACTGCCTAGGGATTTTTTACGTGCACAACAATGCACACGGACGTCTGATCTCACTACCCAGAGACCAGGAGGAATTACTAAAAGTCCGTCCACGTAAAAAAAAAATCCAGCCCTTACAGGGGATTAAACCCGGAGCCTCTAGCACTTGAGGCAGACACTATGCCTTGAGACCACACAGCCCCCATTCTGTAGAAGTGAAGGTGGCCAGTGTGATGTGACATCCCCCCCCCCCCCCCCCCCACTCCCCCCCCCCCCCCCCCCCCCCCCCCCCCCCCCCCCACCCCCCCCCCCCCCCCCCCCCCCCCCCCCCCCCAGGCTGCCCCCCAGGGCTGCTAGATAGTGACGAGTCTCTTACACTAACATGATTGTGTGACCTGGGAGTAAAGAATGGCGACGCAGGTCTATGCTGCTTTTGAGGCTGAGATTGGAGACATTATAACTAACTCTCATGGGAACAACTAGTACAAGTACCTTGAAGTGCTGCTGCATCTGGAAACTGAGCATGCATGGGAATGCTCGATGTGCAGTGATGTTGATTGTGATAACATAACCCACAGAGTGCCAGCTGGTCTGTACAAAATAGGCTAGTGCTATACATCCACAACGCCTAAGATCATAGAAAAAGGTCTGCTTACTTTATAAAAGCATGTCAGTTTGTCAGTGATTATAGATTGAGTGTCCTTATATATATTTTTCAGGCTGACATTAATATCTGCCTTAACAATCAGAGAGATTCTCCGTTATTCCTTGCTGTCAAACTGAGCCACAGGGACATTGTGAAAATTCTGCTGTCATCTCCAGGATGCAATCTTGCTCACCAGAACATTAACCAATATTCTCCATTAGACCTGGCCTTGGTGGGTATTTTATCACCTGAATATGCTCTTAGTGTTTTTGGTGGGATCTCAGGTCGTCAGTTAATAAATAAGTGATTTTCAGCCAACCTGTCTTTCATTTTCTGTGTGGGTTCCACAAGAAGTATTGCTGAACCATGTTATCAACTGTTGCCTTACATTACATGGACTTTAAATCGTATGATTGTGGATTGGGGGGGGGGAGGGGGGGGGGTTGTAATTAATGATAACAAGTTTAATTTTGCTCCCTGATTAAGAGAATGAAAATCATTTTTTTTTCTGCTTATTATAAATAATTTTTTACCTAAACATTTTCTTGTTTTAGTGTAGTTTCTATATTTTTCACTAAAGTAGTGAAAAGTTGTTTTCCTTTGTTTTAGTGTAAAAGTAATGCAAAGGATTCCAGGGACTGCACCCGGTACCCACTCAAGGCTGGGAGCCAAAGTCATTTTTGAAAAAATTAAGGCTCCGCCAGTGAGCTAACCCACGACCTTCCGATCTGCGGCAAGCATCTGGCCGCTTTGCCATTAGGACTCCCAAGAAAAGTAAAGATCCCTCGTCACGCCTTTAGGCACATCGGGTATATGGGAAGAGCACCCATATTTTTTCAGACCATCGGCACTAGGTGGGTAATGTGGTCAGCATTATGCCAGCCGTCTTTACTTCCCCAGGACAGCCATCCTGGTACCCATTTTAGGCTGGGTCGATCTGTGAGGTCCCATACTATGATAAAAATGCACACAACCAGCAGTGGGTTTCGATCGCGGTACGTTCGAATTACGAGTCGGACTCGCAACGCCTAAGCCACGGACGCCGCATTTTGTTTTAGTGTAGTTTCTATATATTTCACTAAAGTAGTGTTGTTTTCCTTTGAAGATTTAACATGGTAATGGGTGTAAAAGGGGATGTGGCAAATAATCAACGCTCAGAGGAAAGACAAGACGGATGTATAATCAGAATGCTACTGGCACCATTGGCATTGGAACCCTGTGCTGGCCACTGAAGATGGGGATAGAGCACTTATGGGAATACCCTGAGTGCTTTGATGTCAGTTCTTGAATCAGCTCAACTCTTTTATCATAATGTGTTGTTATAGTTCTCAACAACAACAACAAATGGGCTACTTAAGCTAACAATGGTTTTATTTAGACTGAAATAATGATTAAATATCAGTATCTTCTAGTCCATGTGGTGTGGCTTTGGTAGTCTTGTCTATCCACAACCTTCTATCTCCCGTAGTTTCTGTCAGCTGTGACACAGATGATCTTTCATGCCATGATGTCAAACTGTCAGGCTTTTCTCTCTCATTCTCCGTTTGCTTCTGTCAGTAAACTATCATTTCTATCTGTTTTGCTTCTGTCAGTAAACTATCATTTCTATCTGTATTTACCACTTGTTGGTGCTGATCAAGGAGGCTGTGAGTCTGAAGATTTCAGGCTAGAACTTTGCAGGTCGGGTTTTTGTTTTTGGTAGTCTTGTCTTACCACAACCTTCCATTTCTGTAGTTTCGAGTCAGATCTGACACAGATGATCTTCATTTAATGATGTGTGGCTTTGGTAGTCTTGTCTTACCGCAACCTTCTATCTCCTGATATTTTTCCAGTTCATAATAACACAGATGATCTTTCATGCCATGATGTGTGGCTTTGGTAGTCTTGTCTTACCACGCAACCTTCTATCTCCTGTAGTTTCAGTCAGCTATAACACAGATGATCTTTCATGCCATGATGTGTGGCTTTGGTAGTCTTGTCTTACCACAACCTTCTATCTCCTGTAGTTTCAGTCAGCTGTAACACAGATGATCTTTCATGCCGTGATGTGTGGCTTTGGTAGTCTTGTCTTACCGCAACCTTCTATCTCCTGTAGTTTCAGTCAGCTGTGACACAGATGAAGATTTGCGGGATGTTTGTTGATTTTTAAGTCATCAGTAATTGTTAACATTTTTTTTAAATAGATTATAGTATTTAGTAAGTGTTACTATTTTGTAGTTTTGAAAATGTAATAAATTTTAACATTTTTTGAAGATTCAAATATATTAGTAAGCATTAACATTTGTGTGTTTTGTAGGTGATGGTTTTTAACAACCAGAAGGAACCTCGTCAAAGTGCATGCTGGGATATATTAGAACTGTTGCTAGAGGCGGGAGCCGAGTCTTCTTGTCCAGATGCTATGCTGTATGTTGTTAGAACTGCACTCAAACTCAACGATGACCAGTTTCTTTTTCACCTGATTCACACCTTAACGGCCTGCTGCACGTCTCTGAACATGCATGCGTTGTTACTCCGTAAACTCCATCGTCACCAGCCAATGTACACTGGTGTCAACAACGATTTGTTTTTCGAGCAAGCTTCAGATCTTTCTGTGAAACTGATCAAGCTGTATACCAACAAAGACAGTCTGCAGCAGATTGTGGAGTGCTTTCCCTACTATGCAGACTCCCATTGGGATGTACGGGAAGCAAGAAACAGATTGTTTATCAAGCTAATCATATACCTGACTGTCGCAGGGTGGCAGTGGACTAACCAAGCTGACCTCCAGTACATGAGATTAATCTGCACTAATTTATCTCAGTGGTGCTACCAGATGCTGAGAACAGTTCCTTCTCTCACGCACTTATGTCGGCTGAGCTTGACGTCCAGTCCGTCTGCCAGACAGTCCATCATTCCATTAAGGGTCCCTAATATTCTTCTCAGTTATTTAGACTACAAAGACATTGATTCCTTGGCACCGTTCACCTCAACTTTTGATTTCAGCTCAGTGCAGCTGTAATATTTATGTCAACCATACAGTACAGCTGTTATATTCATGTGTGCATATAAATGTTTTATCTGTGGCTGTTATGTACATGTGTGAATGTACGCTGCAGCTGTTATACCTTGTGTGAATGTACATTACTGCTGTTATATTCATATGTGAATACCCATTACATTTGTTATACCCACGTGTGAACATATGCAACAGCCACTATATCCATGTGTGACTTCAGTACAGTCATTGAATCTCGGGGAATTTGTGGTACACCTACACACTCTCTTTTAATGTAAACATCTTTTGGAATCTGTATTGGAATGCACAGTACAAGATTACTCTCTCCTTCTTCTTCTTCTTCTCTTTCACATTGTACTTCAGCAAAGTGTCGGGAGGAGATGTGACTTTTGTTTATGAGTTCTGTCAAGAGCACTATTAAGATTGATTTTCATGTAATGCTGTTCTTTATGCCATTACTGCATTTTTTCACAAGGTCTTCCCCTCGCTTTATAGCCGTTGTAACGTTTTAATATGGCTCGCTATGGTAGATAACACCAGGACATTCTTGTTATATGTACAGACCACTTCATTTTTTGTTCTTTGATGACGTGTAAGACTGGCTTTATACCTAGCATTCGTCTGATTTCTTGATTTCGTATTGTCTTACCTCAAAACTCCTGCAGCTCTTCTTAGGCATTTCATCTCTGTTGTCACAATTTTACGTTCATTAGAGGATGTAAGTGTCCACATTTGACACTGATAGCATAGTGTTGGCCAAACAATTTTTCTGATAAGATTCACTTTAGTACTCCGGGTATCTGCTTGTGTGTCAACAGGAAAGATAGTTGCCCCAGTACTTGATTAGCTTTGGTAGATGCACTAATTTCTTTGTCCGGTTTTCTATTAGATGTGAAAATGATTCCATCTGTTGTACTAAATAGCTGCAAGAGAGCAGGAGAACTGCATATTATGGCTGTAATTTCCAAAGCAGCACAGATATAGTCTATGTGAACTGTATGATCCTGCCATTTGCATCTGATGGGTAAACCACATCTTCGAAGCCTCAAAATATCAGTCTATATAAGTTAACAGTATGATACAACTGTAGTCTATAAATGTGAACTGTGTGATACAGCTGTAGTCTATACATGTGAACTGTATGATACAGCTGAAGTCTATATAAGTAAACTGTATGATACAGCTGTAGTCTTTATAAGAGAACTGTATGATACAGCTGAAGTCTATAAATGGGAACTGTATCATACAGCTGTATTCTATAAATGTGAACTGTATACGATACAGCTGTTTTCTATAAATGTGAACTGTATGATACAGCTGTAGTCTATAAATGTGAACTGTATGCTACAGCTGTAGTCTATAAATGTGAACTATATGATACAGCTGTAGTCTATAAATGTGAACTATATGATACAGCTGTAGTCTATAAATGTGAACTGTATGATACAGCTGTCATCTATAAATGTAAACTGTATGATACAACTGTAGTCTATAAATGTGAACTGTATGATACAACTGTAGTCTATAAATATGAACTGTATGATACAGTTGTAGTCTATAAATGTGAACTGTATGATACAGCTGTAGTCTATAAATGTAAACTGTATGATACAGGTGTAATCTAGTCTATTTACTTAATGAACTGTACAGTACAGCCGTGATTCATATATATAACCTGTACAGTACAGCTGTATTTATATATGTAAACTGTACAGTACAGCTGTGATTTATATATGTGAACTGTACAGTACAGCTGTATTTATATATGTGAACTGTACAGTACAGCTGTAGTCTATATATGTGTGAGTATGATACAGCTGTAGTCTAGTCTATATACATGTTTAATTGTACAGTACAGCTGTGATTTTATATGTGAACTGTAATCTCCAGTTATTAACTGTGCAGTACGGATGTGATCTCTATTTTGCACAGGAAGTCAGTGTTCTCCAACATCCAATGTGACACGCATAATTACATTATTATCCGATGCATTTTGGTTTTAATTTTATCATTATCGTGTAGTGAGTTTAAATAGACTTGACTTTTGCAATAACATTGTTTGAAATATTCCAAAGGATATTCTCTATGAGCAGGCGTAGCTGCGATTTGAAGTTGTATCCAAGAGGCATAAAAGTGTGGACATTAACCCAACAGTCCGCAGGGAAAGGCATTCACCTGTACTAAATAAGTTGGATTGTGAGGGCAACATCCTGAACATTGGGAAAAAAGGGATCATTACAGCTACCAAAGTCCCCATGGCGGAGCAGCTAGACGCTCGCCGTGAATTGGAAGGTCGTGGGTTCGCTCCCTGGAGGAGCCGAACTTTTTTCAATTATGACCTTGGTTCCCAGGTCGACTCCGCCTTGAGTGAGTAAAGGGTGCAGTCCCAGAAAGTAGAAGCGGCAGGCGTTATGCTGAACACATCACACATCTTGTGCCGATTGGTCTATAAAAATATAGCCCTATATGCCCTATGCGCCTAAAGGCATGGAAAAGGGTCCTTTACTTTCTTTTACTTCCAGCAACCAGATGGGAAAGAAATGTAATGAGAAAGCTTTCCCAAAGAAAAACCTCATAGATATGAGCGTATGTTGCATCTAGTCTTGTTTTGATAAACAAAGCAAAGATATTTAGGCTCTCCTTGCACCTTTGGACGCAAGCTGGACGGCTTAGGTCGGTTTAGTGCGAGTTCTCTCCCTTTGCCGCATTGACAACAACGAGCGGAAAAAGTCACGAATCAAACAAGACAGTGAGGTCGACATCAGGGCTGCCAATGCTTGGTTGTGTCCCCCCAGATCTGGGTTTTCCTTTTGACGCTCTGGGGGGGGGGGGGGGGGGGGGAGTTGCCGATCTGTATGCTTTAATGACTGATAAATTTGCGTGGTTAGGGTTAGGGGTAGCGTTAGGGTTACGGTTAGGGGTAGGGTTAGGTTTAGCGTTAGATGTGACAATTTTGACGCCGTAGTTCCCTATAATCGCGCACAGTCACATACACACCCAAACAGTCGACGGACGGTGGATGCTACTGATACGGACAATTCGCCACCGATTGGGCACCAGCCGCGCGCTATTGCCGTTTCATTTGGCACACTTCCAGTGGCGCCACTCCCACAAGCATCAGATTGTTGCCCAGTATTTGGACGTTCTACGTCACCATTTTCACATCTAACCCTACCCCTAACCCTATCCCTAACCCAAACCCACACTTTACGCAACCCTACACGCAACCGTATGATGGTGATAGACACCCTACGCAGCCCTACACGCAACCGTATGATGATAGGTAACCCTACACGCAACCGTATGGTGACTACGCAACCCTACACGCAACTCTACACGCACCCGGATGATGATAGGTAAGTATGTCATTTGATTCGTGACTTTTTCCGCTCGTTGTTGTCAATGCTGCCAAGGGAGAGAACTCCCACTAAGCCGACCTAAGCCGTCCAGCTTGCGTCCAAAGGTGCAAGGAGAGCCGATATTTAGCCACATATGTGTTTGTGATTAGACCTCAATATCATGGAGTAGAAGAGCGGTCATGGTGTAGTGACCTTTGCAGGTCAAAAGGTCATGGGTTTGGATCCTCATGGAGCCAGACTTTTTTTTTTTAGAAATGACCTTGGCTGCCAAGTTGACCTTGATTTGAGTAGGTACCAGGTGCAGTCCTGGGAAGTAAAGCAGCTGGCAGTGATGTTGACCTCATCACCCACCGAATGCTGATTGGTCTATTAAATGTAGGCTTGATATACCAGAAGAAGTGGAGAATTTTTTTTTTTTTTTTTTTTATTTTTTTTAAACGTTTGAAGTAGAATAGGATGGATCCCATGGTTTGGTGTTTGAATGGATCTCAGGAGATGATACTTATATCTTTGTACAAGTGTATGTCAGAAGGTAGTGGTGGGTATAGAAGTGGGTCTGAGATACAGAAAACGAACACATGAGATCCCATCAACATGTATGTGTTACAATGTCATGGGTGTTTTCTTCCATTGCCTCATTTACTGCCCCTTATGATATATGTTATTCTAATCAATTATCACTGCATGTGTCTCCAGTTGATTTCTCAAGTCAAGCTGAATTGTTTGTTTACCGTTGCCAACCAATGTTTCAAACTGAAACAGCGATAATGTTTTTTAAATCTTTATTATTTTATGGCAGTTAATGTTTTCTGAAATGTAAATACTGAATATTTTGTTGATATTCACTGTTGAAGAAAATAATACAACCTGTAGAATGCCTGACAACGATGATTGCCATGTAGTATGTTGATAGTATAGGCGGTCATAGTTTGCAGTCGGATGCAATCACTGTAGTCGTCGATCAGCTCCACCCCGTGTGTGTTCCAGGGCTCCATTTTGGAGAACAAGGAATAGACCTACTGCTCCCCAAACAGGGGAAGGAACGAATGAACGAACTAACAAACTTTATTTTTAAAGGGTTACAAATTAGGCACGCAGGCCTGTCTTACATTCGGCCCTTCCAAACTCCCATCTTTCACACAGCAGTTATATTTCCTAAATAAAGCATGTTATGTTCATGTAATAATACGCATATTATGAATATCAAGTCAAAAACAAAAGCATGGGTGGTAAAATACGTGCACACGCTCGCAGGCGAACCCACACACCCACATACACATGCAAACCCAAGGATGTGCACTCAAAACTCAGGTTCTGGAGCAAGGCTGAAGTCCAGAAGTGAAGGAACAACCAGGACTTTCCACCAGAGTTTACAGCTGGTGAATGTGGAAACAAGATCAGCTCCCAAAGGCAGTAAAATCAAGAACAAATGAAAGAACATTTGTCAGCCAGTCATGTGTTTGATGACAGACTCATAGACCAGTTAGTTGCCTTTACTTCTCAGAACATGATTGAGGTTCATTTTGACTGGAAAAATCTGCCGCGGTGCACATTCAAACTAAAAATCAACATGGCTGCTTCTGGATTCAGTGATTTTGTGTATTCATATGGATTTGGTTGATTTTTGTATGTGCGCATGAGGGC